TCACAGCAACTGTCTTCTCACATCTTTTTGGACTTACCTCTGCTTCTTGCTGGAATAGTGACCACATCTTCCTCCTCCTCTTTTCTTCACTCTCCTTCACCATCTCTTCGGATAGGCCGGGAGGAAGGCTCCCTTCTCCTGGATTAAAAACGTAGCAACCACATTGATGCAGCCTCGTGCTGCTGCTTTTCTGCTTCTTCTGAATCACACATCTGTATTATACACAGTAAACCATGTGGACATCGGGCAGGGAATGGAAATTAGGGCTTACCTTAGATGGGTCCAAGGGCCAAATTAATTTTGTATCATTTCACGTTTAAAAGAAGTGGTGAATTGGCACCACCCAGGGTAGACTGTGATGGACCATACATGGAGAAATTGTGACATCGTGTGGCAAAGAATGGGAAATGGCGCACTCTAACGGTTACTAATTTTAAACAGATGACTTTAATTTGGGCATTTCCTGCCATCAAAGCCTCAACGGTGCTTTCAATGCTATAACTTTGCTGCCTGTAAGTTACTTTTTTTTTTTTTAATAGTTAGAAAAAATCCACCACGGAGCATGACATGCACTCAGCGCCAGAAGAGTGCTACAGTGCTGTCATTTGACAACAGCTAACAGAGAGCAGAAGAGGGCCATCTACATAATTAAGCTTAATGTCAGATGGATGACATCTTGCCAGGGGTTTCACAGATCCTCCTGGATTGCAGGGGAAAAGTCACATTCAAGAAACCCAGTTCCCTCCTAGGCTTTGGAGGAACAAGGAAAACAGAGTAAAAACTCATCATCTAGTTAGCTCAACTTCTTTGCCTTCTCCCCTCCCCCAAATCCTGCCTTTCCTCGCTCTTCCCCACTTTTTCAGCTCTTCATCCAGGTCTTTCATTTTCTTGTCCAGACCACTTCAGTTCTGCTTTACTGGCTGCTCACCTTGTCTCTCCCTCTTCCCTCTGCACACTGGTTCTCTACCACCCCGTTCTCTCCTACTAATTTTTCTTTGCTCAGCCAGCTGAGTTTCTCCTCTAAAAATCAAACTTTCACGTCCAATCCATCTTCTCTTTGTCCAGCTACTATTCTGCTCTCAACTAATGCTTAATACTACCTTACTTGACTAAATTTTCCACTTCTTTTTTTCTGATTTTACGGTTCAAACACATCAGCAAGTCATCACAGCATAACAAGATCCATCAACAGAGTAGCAGTAATTCATCCTGCAGCAAATTGCACCTTCTTAAATCTTAAGGTTAACATGAGGTAAAATGTCCATCAGCCTCTTTCATGGGCAGCTACACTAGTGAATTTAACACAATTTTGCAACATGCTAAGCCTTGGCACAGAGTTAGTCCACTCAGTGACAGCACACCAACTCGCAAAGGTGTGGACAGTTTACTCACACATCAGAGCACCTGGTGTCCCCTCAGAGCCAAATGACTATAAAAAAATTAATCACTAGATAGACAGCACTAGATAGACAGTCTTGTTCTGGAAAAGCGATTACTGAAAAAAAAAAACAACAAAAAAAACCCCAAACCAAAACCAACCCAAAAATCATGCTACAGCACTCAGCGCTGAGAAGAAAGCCCACTAGTCAAGTTCTTTGAAAACTGTACCTAAGAAACAACTTTTTTTTGATTGCTTACAAGTTGCTTACAAGCCTTCAGCTCCCTTTCACCAGAGCAACAGGATTTGTCCTTGGTGTGGACAGACAGACCTGCCCGATAAGTTTTGAGTCCCTTTTCCAAAGTGCTGGTCAGAGCCAAGATTGCCACAGTTTCAGAGTTTACTTCCTGGGATCAAATATGTTCTCAGGACCTTTTGTGTTTGGAAATGGCTGATCTGCATTAAAAAAAAAGAAAAAAAGATACCAGTTCAAACCAAACTTCACCCCTCTTCACCCCTTTGCCATTTCAGTGTATTCCACAGCACACACCAGCGTGCCAGGGGCCCTGGCCAGGTTTCACTCCAGCTGCAGGTCCACAGAAATATGAAAGACTTCAAGCAAAGAATATTCAGGATAGTAATAATCACCACATGTTTCAACACTTGTAAGGCTGTTCGCTGTCCGTATCTGTGTTCACTGTCCATATCTGTAATTAATAGAGATTTCTCAGAAATGTTAGTTAAAAATAAGCCACACACACACACACTCCCTAATCTAATCTAAGTAAGCTACATGAACCTGAACCTTGAGCTTTTTAGCTCAGCCACATATAACTGTCACCTCCCATGAGCAAGTGCTAGTCTTCAGGCAGCTACGCAGTGACCTGAAAACTTTTATCTTTCATTTTCTGACAGGTTAGTTTTCAGCCACATCGGTTTCCTGAGATGATTCACCACATAGTCTTTCAGCTGCCAACACCAACAGGTCAGAAGCAGTGGGACCAGGCAGCTCATGGTTAACACAGAAGAAGGTGGCAACATTGGTGCTACATTTAGACCAATTTAATGTGGTTAAAGTTAATAGTGGGGCTGCACCTTTTTGATCTTTCACAACTCCAGAGTACTTGTCTGTCAAGCTGTGTCCTGGGTTTTAATTGTACTCTGGCTCCTTCACTAACGTACGTGTGCCATTGTTCCTTCTCTACCTGGTTTCCACCTGGTTCCTTTTCTCATCAGAAAAATAGAAGTCCGGGCCACCAGTACCCAGACATCTCTGAAAACCTTAAAGTGGAAAAATGTGAGAGTGTGGAGCTGACAAAGAACGATTTTTGGCCGAAGTACTTCACACACTTCGTTACCTCAAGGCAGATGTCCAGCATGGAAAAATTTCAGCATGGAAATTACAAAGTTCTAATGAAATACGATGCAAAAAAGGAAAACTGAACTTGATCATGAGAAATACTGGGCAACTCTATTAACAAGTGACTTTTGCTGCCCCTGTCAATAATTATAGTAAGGCATCACTTTGTAAAGGTTTTTAGTAAAATGAAGGCCTTTACAGCCTGTTGGGTATCTTTAGGGCATGATCAAGCCATTGTGGCAAGTAACATCCTATAGATGTCACTCAGCTGTGATGGCATTTCTTAGTTCAGACTCACATCTGAGTCTTCAATTAACCCACTTTGATCAACCACTCTAAGAAATTGCTGCTTGCTATGGTTTGAGAAATCCCCAACAATTTATTGTCATTTAGACAATTATTCTATCACCCAATGACCCCTCCCCACCCAGTAAGGGGAATCAGAAAAAAACGAGAAAACCAAGGGTTGAAATGCAAACAGACTTAATAGACTACGACTAGATAATTAACATCAATAACACTAAAGAACCAATATTGATCCCAATACCAATATAAAAGATTATACTCAGCCAATTCTATCAGCAGGAAGCTGTGCACTCCCAGCTGTGGACAGCAAACATCGGACACTGTGAACACTATGGTTTCAGGAAGAAGGAAAGGCCTCTGGGGTCTGGCACTGAGGCAAGGAGTCCTCTGGATTGCAGCCATTAAGGAAGAGAGAGCACTTCACAGCAAACTTTCTAATTTATACTGAATGTGTCATTCATGGTATGAAATAATCCTGTTGGCCAGCTTGGGTCCAGCACTTGGGTCTCGCTCCTCCTCATCCCTGCACCTGGCAAGGCTCAAAAACACTGAGACCTTGAAATCTGAATACCATAGCTGGCTATAAAGTAAATATTTTAATGAATTCAGATACTGGAGTCTTTTAAAAGTACAGTTTTCCCAGACATTAGAAATTACTCCTATATCACTCAAACCAGGACATTGCTTCAAACAAGCGCTGGGCCTTTAATCAAGTAAACCTGCATTCAAAGTTGAATTAAATATCTACGTGTGAATTGGCAGAGCCAAGAAATGTGGAATCACAGTCGTAAAGTTGCTCTCCTGTGATGAAGGACTGAGGGGTCAAAATTTTATGTCAGATAGGACAAGCTGTGAAGAATTCTTTGATAGACACAGTTCTATACACAAAATAACTAACACAAGGGACATGCTTCAAAACTATGGGTGGAGGAGAGGGCCCATTTGCAATTTCCCTGCTTTTTATGTCCCGTTCCAAAAGCCTCAGCAGCACTGCCTCCAAATCTCCTTAGGCTGACAAAAGCATTAGCCCTTCCTCTTTAACAGCATGAGGAAGCTTCAGGCTTTGTTCCTTATAGAAGATGATGGCTGCCTCCTTGCAAAAACAGCATCTTAATAACAGCGTAGTATTTCTTTGTAATGCTTCATGCAGGTCTCTCCACCTGCAGCCTCTCTGGGAAGCAGATAGCCGTTTATTTCCACCACTTTATGGCAGCAGAAGTCCTAAGCAGTAGCAAGCAGAGCCAGGAGTAAGAATACCCAGGCTTGAATCCAGCCCCCAGCTGTAATTACTAAATCAGTTTTCCTTAGCACTGAGCGAGGGTGCAGGCGAACTGGGGAGCACCGCATCAACCGAACAGAGCAAGAACTGTTGAAAAGCAAAACACCTAGTCCCTCCCGCCATGTCGGTCGTTCCCAGTCCTCCTCAAACCACCCACCGGCCGTCCCCATGCCTGATCCCCTGCGCAGCCCACAACCGGGGCTCTCCGTGGCTCCCCACCGGGCAGAGCCCAGTCCTCAGCGGGGAAGGGAGCGCGGCTGAACCCGGAGGGGCTGCCCTGCCGCCCACCTCACGCAGGCGGCGGTGGGGAACGATGGAAGACCTGCTGACGGTCCCCATCTTCTAGGCCGCAGCAGGAGAACGCTTTGCACCCCCCCACCGCCGCCGCCGCCGCCGCCACCTCAGCTTCCCGCCGCCCCTAGCCAGCAGGCAGGCGGCACAAAATGGAGGCGGGCGGGCTCCGCCGCCTCACAGGCCCCGGGGCTCTCCGGGAAGCGGGGTTTACGGGGAGTTTGAAGGAAGCAGCGGCAGCCTGCCGGGAGCGGCGGGGAGGAGGAGAAGGGGAACCCGAGAGCCAGGGCCATCCCCGGGGAAAGGCCCGGGAAAGCCCCGCCGCCCTCTAAGGAAAGGGAGCGGCTCCCCCCGTAACGGCCCGTTGTGAGGGGAGTGGCCTTCCCCCTGCCGGCCGTCGCCATGGGAACACAGGCGCCATGAGCCGCACGGTGACCGGCGCGGTGCGGGCCCCGCTCCCCGGGGCCGGCCGCCGCCAAATGGCTCCCGGCCGGACCTTCGACTGCCTCTGCGGTACCGAGCCCGGCCGGAAAGGGGCAACGTTCCACCCCGCCCCGCTTGCAGCCCCCGAGGATGGGGGACTGGTGCGGCCAGGCCTGACATCCCTCCTCAGGGAGTGAGGCCGCGTCCGGCCGGGCCCGGGGCGGGGAGTTAGGTGCTGGCGGGGTGGGCGCGCAGGCCGTGAAGCGGTAGGGCTGGGCTGAGCTGGAGCTGGCCGAGGGGCTGTCACTGAGCCACCGGCAAAGGGTTTGGCAGGGGAAGCAGGTTTGGAGCTGGGAAGGTGGGTGCCACCCTCCCCAGGAGAAGGGCAGAGCCACATAGCGGTAAAGCCTTAGGGTTGGCAGGAGTAATGGGGTGATCAGGAGCGAGGGGAGGCTTGGGACTGTGAAACCTGTGAGAGCCGGGGGAGAGCCAGCACTCGCTGTATATCCCACAGGGAAGCATTGTGTACAGTAGATTTCCACTGATTACCGTTGCACCATGCTTTATTTTTTTCTGTTGCATGTTCACTGTGAGGGTGGTGGAGCACTGGAACAGGTTGCCCAGAGAGGTGGTTGAGGCCCCTTCCCTGGAGATATTCAAGGAGAGGCTCGACAAGGCCCTGGGCAACCTGTTCTAGTTGGGGGTGTCCCTGCTGACTGCGGGGAGGTCGGACTAGATGACCCTTGGAGGTCCCTTCCAGCCTGGGCAATTCTATGATTCTATGATTCTATGATTCTTCATTTTCTGTTTTAAGTTGGCAGTGTGTTCAAGAAAAGTAGATTTTTCTTCAGTCATGTTCATCTTCCACATACAGTAGCATTTCAGCTCTGAGGCTCATTTGTCTGATGGTGGAGCTTCTTTAATATGGAGACATATATTTCAGGGTTTTTTCTTTCCTAGTGTCTTTTATGGACAGACTTTTAAAGAGGGAAGTGGAGCCTGCCGATTCATGCTGGTTGCTCACATATGTAACTAGTTCCATTTGTTCACTTATCTTTCAGAGCCTCTGTACACACTATCAAGTGAGAAGGACCATTCAAAGTCAAATGTCCAAGTTCAACTTGTCGGTGATAGAATGGTAGGTGTTGGCCAAAGATGGGTCATATGCACACCTTATGTTTTTATGAATATGCATACACCTGGGTAGAAACCGTCTCAGTTCTAAGCTGCCTTCTTAACACAGCAAAATACAAACCAAAGGAAGCGGTTTTATCTAAAACAAGATTTAACACAAAGAGTGACTAACCATGATTGCTGGCCTAAGGTGACTCTGTAGCAGCAGCCTAGAAATGCCCAGTATCATTTCCTGAGTAATTTCCTAAATTGTGTGTCAGTATTTTTAATAGAATACCTCCAAATGCTGTTAACAATAGCTTGTATATGTTATTAAGATCTAAGAAAAGAACTGGACAGTTCTTGGGCTGTTGTTCAAGCAGAGCTGTTAAAACATGTTATTTCACGTGGTGCCTCGTCACTTGCCTGGGGATATACTTACACTACAGCTCAAGGTAGCATACTTAGTTTAAATTGAACTAGGTAGCAACAGCTAAGCAGCCTGTAAAGATTGCAAACCCATCCTAATTCTTTGTACTAGGTTAGCATAATTTCACTTCTTAGCTAAGCCCTTAGGTAGCTGGCCATGCTTGGCTCCCTACTGTATTTGCTCCCCTACTATCAATATTCACCTTAACTAGTTTAAAACCAGCTAGGACATGACTGTGGAAGTTGCAGTCACACCTCTAGACAGCAGTGATTGATGGCTGGGCAGGCTGCATATAAGTAGAATACCAAAGCAAAGTAGACTTGGTACAACTGCACAATGAATTGGATTTTAAACAAAGAGTCCTCTTGAAGCTTTGCACTTGACTGAGCCTGCAAGGCAGATATTCTGAACTCTGAAACTCCATTGCTGTACAGTGAGGAGAAAATCCCTGGGCAGCTTTCCAACAATGGAATCAAGAAACATTTTTCTGAAGAATGTTTCTGGATGTCTCTTATCCCATTATCTCAGACTCTTTCTTATATCTACGTGAAAACAACTGTGTGTTTGTCTGCCTCTCCATAGAGAGACATACACATGGAGCTGGAAACATTGGCTGTCATCGTAGAGATCCTTGCAACAACATGGCTGTGTTAACAGTTTAGGCCAGACAAAGTAAGCAGGCATACTGTCACTAATGTTGTCACATCATAGGTATAACGTTGCAGGTGGCTATGGTGACAAACTCTGACTTGCATAAAACATATTTTAAGCATACAAATCAGCAAGTGCCTAATGTGCAATACAAAACAATAAGACTTTGAATTCTTAGTCTATAGCATCACAAAATGGGGTGGACAGGGATTGTGATAGTATTAGTTTATAGGGTTTTCCAAATTCTTGAAAGTTGAATTCCCTTTAAAGAGAAAAATTAAACAAAAATGCAGTCTGATGCACAGCAAGCAGCTACTCCGAGTAGGTTGCCTAGATCTTCATCATCTGACTTTCTCTTACACTCTGGTCAGTCGTTGTACTTGAAATGTCACCACTACCCTATACACATCTGAGTTAGCACCTGCTGAAATGAAAGGGGCGATTCACAATTCAAATCTGATTTCAGGCTTCACAGAAGCTCAAGCCAAGATAGCTCCATCACTTATACTTGAGTCACAATTGCAAAGATTTATTGGCAGCCGTAAATTTAGAGATTTAAGGCATATCTACCCAGGGAAATTAGTGCTTAAGAGGAAAGGTGTGGATTTTTAATGTGATCATTTTTGTGTGCTAACTCCTGCAGAGATATTTTTAACGCATGCTAAAATTGTTACAGTATAAAATAATATAACTTTACTCTGTAAGTGGAATATGTTACTTCATTTCTAGAACACACAAAATAGGAGGGAATTACATGGGGTAATGTGCTAGAAGTTCACATTACTGCACATTCACAGCTACTGCACACTAACTTCTTTATGTAACGAACTGTTAGACCCTTTGATTTTAAGTATAAGTTTAGACACTGGAAAACAGCCAGAAGACATATCTGTGCATCTGCTGCTAGTCTGGTATGCTCCACATCTTGACAAGTACCATCTAACCAGCTGACATCATTAGCATACGTATGCCGCTTCGTTCCCCATCCCAAATGTGCAGTCCTGTAAATCACAGCAAGCTGAAATTCTGATCTCTTTGCTTCTGTTTGAAATCACTAAATCACCGCCTCTCTTCTTTGTGTCCATGCATACATTAGGTGAAGGCACCAATGTTAAGAAGCATGTTTAGTACCTTGGTCCATTTCCCAGGCTATAGTCTGCTCTTGGAGGGCAAAGATCCAGTGCCTCCATTTATCAACCGAAGATGGAGTGGGAGGGCTCAGCATTGCCTGGAGGCTCTTCAGCAGCTTGCTGTGTAAGTGTTCTGTGGTTGGATAATTTTAAACAAACATACAAACAAAACCAACAAAAACCCATGCACACTGAAGTGGAGATGACTGCAATTTTGCTCCTACTTATATTTCGCTTGAAATTAAGAGATTGCAGCTGTTGTGGAGTATGGTTGCCCATCTGTTTCTTACAGGGTGGATGTTGCACATTCCTTCACCCCTGTGCTATCTGCTTTGCAGCGGTTGCTGGGAAGAAGAAGAGTTATTTCAGTCTCTTATAGATTGGATAAGTTATGAAGACTTCAGTGACTCGGGTGTTACTTCAGCAGGAGCTGTTTCCTTTTAGTCCCGTGCACTTGCAGCTGGTTAGAATCCTTTTGCTGCTCATTCAGGAGTGTATGGGGCCTGAACCAGGGCACCACATTTTTAGTGTAGGGGTTTCTTAGTTGAACTTTAGTCTCTACAGTTTTGGCTTCTGATTCAGCAAATATTTAAAAAATACATTTATGTGTTTTGCTACACCATGTGGTTTTTGGAGTCTTCTTGTAGCTCTATTCAAGACTCCAGGCATCAGCCTAGATAGTTGTTTCCAGAGGTTTTTGCTGCATTAACAAGCTAACTTTAGATCAGGGGCTTTTCAGATGATACGTGCTCTGGGGTTGCTGGTAACTGAGTTCTACCACATGCCAAATTGTAATCAAAGATGTTTAAGAGTGATACAGCAGATTTCACATCTGGTTTCAAAAGCATATTCTTTCATTTCCATAATAAAGTAAGAATTTTGGAGCCTTTTTTCTTCTTATTGTTTTCAGCATTTAAAACTGTCCCCAGCACGTGAAAATCTCAGTAGCTTCTTATATTTTGCCTGTTATTTTGTAATAGGAACTTATTTGATGCCTGTGCTGCTTTAAAATTGATTTACATTTCAACAACATGTATTTGCAAAATGTCTTGAAATTAACAAAAAATGAGAAATACAACCCCTCTGTTTCAACCTGCACTGATTGACAGTGTTGCTGATACCGAAGATAGAATATTTCCCAGCTGTCTTCTGCAGTTGCATTGCCTCTGCAAGGTTACCAGGAATAAAAGCTCATTTATTTCAGCAATGTCAGCAAATATAAGTCAAGGACATGCAAGAGGCAGGATCTGTGGAATAAAAGGGGCTGTTTCACTGGGTTCCCATTGTGCCTATAACTATACCATAATAGGATGAACAGCTTATGCTAATAAAGTTAGATCATAAGAATAATTGCCCACCTGTGCTGCATGACACAAATCCATCTGGATGGAGCAACAGTCTGATATGTAAAGAGTCAGCTAGTGGAACTAGCCATCAGCTCAATTAACTCATTTGAATTACAAACACAAGTTCACAATAATAGGTTGATTAGTGCTGAGCAAGTATCTCAGGTTACTGCACTGCATTCTCAAAACATTCCACTCTTTTTTTGTCATGTGATATGACTGAAAGCACTGGGAAGAGATGACTTTAAACTTACCTTGGCAGTAAATTGTATGTCACGGAGGTTAATGAAGCATCTCTCTGTAGGCTTTGCAGTAGTGGGTAGCCATACTGTGGTTCCCCAAGTTCCACAGCGCAGTTTGCAGGGCTTAGATGAGGTCTTTGAAGACAACTGATCTCAGCATGCAATCCTCTGTTTTGATCCCAGCTGTCGAGCAATGTTATGTATTGTTAATTGTATCTCTGTAAATATACCTCTGTATTTAAAATTAAGCAGCAGCAACCAACTCCAGCACCCACAGTCCCATACATCTGAGGTCAGGATTCTTACAAGTTGCCAAAAATGGTCATTACGAAAAACATGACCTTCAGGACTTGCTATATATCTAGCGTTAGAAAATGACTTACCTCAATGGCATGATTTGGGCTTTTTTTTTTTTTTAAAGAAGTTCTGTTTCTTGTCTTTAACCACCTTGCAGGTTGAGAAGAGTAAGACTGGAATATAAAGTGCTTGTGAAATCAAATAGCAATCTTGATCCTTTCAAAGGACTCAATTCCACCCCCTTTCACTGACTGCCTTAATGAGGTCTGCCTCATGGTCTTCCAAAGCTTTAAAATAAAGAAAACCCTCCAAGATATAACAGAGAAAAATTTAAACAGTCAGCCTACTTTAAATTCAAAATGGGGAAAAAATGAAGAAAGGCTGTTCTTGCAAAAGATACGCCAAAAGATACACTTGTTCCAGCATGGGTTTTGAAACATTCACATGGTCATCCTAATTTTTCTCCTTTATTGAAGAATTCAAATTAAAATCGCTGATTCTAAAATTTTCCACATTTGCTCAAAATCTCTTTAGTTACTTTTCAAAGGTAGAAAGTGGTGGACTTCCCCTTTGCTCATTCTTCTCCTTTACACATATTTTCTCTTATGAAAAGTTTTTCACTCAAAGAAAAGAGCTTGCTCCTCCTGTTCCCAATAAAAGTAGGTTACTTTACAATGTCAAGCATTTACAAGTGGCCAGTCCTTTTCATGACAGGCATATAAGAAAGTTTTATTAAAGGCATCGAATGACCATTTCTTGCCCACACATAGTGGGAAATACACATGAAGTGTCAAACTTTTGCTATATATATAAGTATGGAAAAAGCAAAATATAATAGCTTGTATAAGTATGGGGATTTTGTGGAGTTTGTAATGTGCATGTTTGATTGTGCAACCAAAGAAGTAGAGAAAGGTATTAAAAAAAAAAGCATAAGAAAAAAGATCAGAATTCCTCTGAATGTACTTCTTAAATGATATGCTGTATTTTGGCTTTTAGAGCTCAGTCTTCTCTTCAAATACCTCAAATCGTGTATGAAGATCCTGAAGTTAGTGGAAGGAATCGCTACAAATATTTTGCTCGGTAAGGAATGAACTGATTTGAAACAGAGTTCAGAAGCTTGCTTTTGTGCAGTTTAAAGAGCACCTAGATAAATGCTGGAGCCTTATTTTTTCTGTCAGTTCTTTGATCACTGCTATAGAAAACCTAAATGGTAACCAAGTCTTAAATCATAAGGTCTTTTTAAATTCACTTTATGCCAGAATTTTTAAGTAATGAGCTACCAAATAAGCAAATGTACCAGGCATTTTGTACTTAATAAATATTTGTAGAAAACTTTGGGCTGTAGATCCTCCTACACAAAGGAAGAAGATGCTCAGAAAGCCATCGTGGTTCTCCAGACTCCTGGAAAGGTGCCACCTTAAGAAGGAACCTTTTAACTCCCAGTTTCTGCCAGGAGCAGAAAGGGAGCTTTTGCTCCTTCATTAACTTTTCATCAATGTGTCCTACTGCAGGACTGCTCTGCTCCTTCCAGAGTGTTGCTACAGGTCAGCAATGGACCCAAGATCTGAACCAACAGCTAGTATACAAACATTCTCAACTTAGTCACATTCACATATATTGTTAATTACATTTACTGTGTCAGTTAGCATCTATTGGTCAATGTGTCCACTTAAAAAATATAAAAATATGCACCAAGTTTAATAAATTGAAGTTCTTTATGGCTTATTTAAAAACAACAAAAAAAAGGACAAAGATGATGTTATCTTCTGCAATTTGAAATTAAGCTTTATAGTCTCTCAAAGGCTAAGGGAAATGGATAGTGAAGTGCAATATGCAAACTATAAGAATGCTTAAGAAAGAATTATTAATATGTTGTTGAGCCCATATCACTTTTAAGATACTTCATAAAATACTGCAAAAAAGGAAACAATCAAATTAGGTAACTCCAAAACAGCTTACCTTACCAGCTGATTGTAGGAATTCATTTCAGGATTTCAAGAAGTTATAGAAATAAAAAACCTCTCTCAAAGGCTAAGGGAAATGGATAGTGAAGTGCAATATGCAAACTATAAGAATGCTTAAGAAAGAATTATTAATATGTTGTTGAGCCCATATCACTTTTAAGATACTTCATAAAATACTGCAAAAAAGGAAACAATCGATTAAGTAAGTCCAAAACAGCTTACCTTACCAGCTGATTGTAGGAATTCATTTCAGGATTTCAAGAAGTTGTAGAAATAAAAAACCTCTCTCAAAAGCTTGAAGTGAAAAAAGTAAACTAATTAGTGAAATATACACAAAATGTTGAGACACTCAAAACTAACTTCTTTTAATTATTGTCTTGTTTTGCAATTCCACTTTCTGCTTTGAGAGAAGAATAACACTCACTCCTACTGGTGAAACTGCCTCTGTTACTCCTTAGCATTGAAAAGAATTACTTAATGTTCAGGCACAATTCTTAAACATGCAACTACAGAACCTGAGTTGTGGAAAATCAGTGTAGAATCATAGAATTGCCCAGGCCGGAAGGGACCTCCACAGGTCATCTAGTCCGCCCTCCCCGCAGTCAGCAGGGACACCCCCAACTAGACCAGGTTGCCCAGGGCCTTGTCGAGCCTCACCCTGAATATCTCCAGGGATGGGGCCTCAACCACCCCCCTGGGCAACCTGTTCCAGTGCTCCACCACCCTCACAGTGAAGAGCTTGCTCCTAATCTCCAATCTAAATCTGTTCCCCTCCAGCTTAAAGCCATTTCCCCTTGTCCTGTCACTGCAGGCCTTTCTAAACAGGCTCTCCCCAGCCTTCCTGTAGGCTCCCTTCAGGTACAGGAAGGCTGCTATAAGGTCTCCCCGGAGCCTCCTCTTCTCCAGGCTCAACAACCCCAGCTCCCTCAGCCTGTCCTCGGAGCAGAGGTGCTCCAACCCCCTGATCATTTTAGTGGCCCTCCTCTGGACCCGCTCCATCAGGTCCATATCTTTCCTATACTGAGGGCTCCAGACCTGCACACAATACTCCAGGTGAGGTCTCACCAGAGCAGAGTAAAGTGGCAGAATCACCTCTCTGGACCTGCTGGCAACACTTCTTTTGATGCAGCCCAGGATGTGATTGGCCTTCTGGGCTGCAGGTGCACACTGCCTGCTCATGTCCAGCTTCTCATCCACCAACACCCCGAAGTCCCTTTCCTCAGGGCTGCTTTCTAATACCTCACCCCCTAGTCTGTATTGATGGCAAGGATTGTTCTGGCCCAGGTGCAGAACCTTGCACTTATTCTTGTTGAACCTCATGAGGTTCACCTGGGCCCACCTCTCCAGCCTGTCCAGGTCCTTCTGGATGACATCCCGTCCCTCAGGTGTGTCGACAACACCACACAGCTTGGTGTAACTCCACTGAAATTAGTGGACTGCAGGTTTTCTAAACCATAATGATCTTTTGCACTTATTATTGTTGATTTACGTCTGCATTCTCTCCTTTCAGACCTCTCATCCCTCATAATAAGCTGCTTCCACTAGATGTTGCTTACGCAATGGCAAAGTAAGTAGTAACTTCTAGAATATTACTTTTGTAATGGGTCACATCTCACCAGAAAAAGATTGGGAAACTGTTTAGCTGGTGAAAAAAAATTTCATAACAAACCAACAGGAAAAAGCATGTTAAGAGGTAAGGGTTTCTTCACCATTGAGAATTCTTGAGGAAATGGATGACTGACTGTTTCAGATTTGCTTGCAGTATATAAGTAGTGCTTTTTGGGTAAAGGACATGTGCCTCAAATGTGTTGTGAGGCCTGAAACAGAAAGCCATGTGTCTCTGAATCCTGGAAGAAATACCAATGCAAAGAAGATTCTCCAATACAGCAATATTGTTGGAAAATCTTATGACATTTTTATTACAATCTCTCAGACAGTTGAAGTACTGTTCAGCGTGTAGAACATCCATGAAGTAGTCTAATGTGGTTCACTGGAGATCAAATTTTGAGGGGTCATAAGAAAATTCAGTTCCTAATAGAGTCAATGGAAGTCTGCTTACATCAGAATTGAATTTGTGTTCTGGAATTGTTAGAAAGACAAACATGTAAGCTAAATGGAAGCAGTCCTGCTTCATTTTACACTCAACTATTACTTTTTGTGCCCATTAAAAGCAATGCTTTAGAATAGATATAGGGAAGATTTGCATGTAATAACTTGTGAGAGCTGAAACCAGGTTTCTGGATTGTCTACCTGAGGAGGGAGGTTTCAGGGGACCCAGGGTAGCCCTCAGTCTGCTTTTACTAAAGGTAATGGAGTTAACATCAATGGGAGCAATGTTAAGATAAAACAAAACACATTTGGATATCCTACTTTTGACTTAGTGTTGTGTTTCTGGTTTGGTTTTGTTTGTTTGTTTGTTGGGTTTTTTTTAATGAATGTGACAAATGATCTTTCATCTCTTTTTAGGACAGAGCCTGATGTCCATTCAGCCTTAAGAGACAGCAATGTCTTTGGTCCCAAGTTACGAACTTTGGGCACACAGACAGATTACAGGGACGGTGAAGCCCAGACTGATCCCTATTCCCCTGAGTATGTAGTGCCCCATGGCTCAATCCCTGAACTTCTGACACTTGCTACTCTCACTTGGGGTGAGTTGTGAAACCAAGATAAATGATAATAGTAGTCTTTAACAGGAGGTTCTGTTTTCTTCAGTGTCATGTCTCAAGTCTATTGCCAGCTTTGGTACTCCTTTGTTGTCTTCCTTAGAGGGACAATATTTTATCTATTTCTAGAATAGGTATGATATTTTCTTACTTAATAGTGCTGTTCTGGAGCATTTTATAAATTGTTTTGAGATCATTCATTATAAAAAGGTCATATGTTTTACAAATACCAACTAGGAGCAGTTTTTTCCATTTACTTATGGAACGATTACCATTAAACATTTTCCATGTTCTTCAGCTGTTCTGAGTTAGACATCAGTAAAAAAAAAAGCAGTACAAACACTGCTGGCCCAGAATATATCTGTGATTCTCATCTCCCAGTGTCCCACCTGCAATAATGACGGACACTGGACATGCCAAAGAAAGTGCTTATTCTCAAAAAGTGTCTTCTTGGAAAAGATTTTCCTCTTTTGCAGCCTGCAGTAGAGGAATCAAGTGCTAGTGTTAATGTCAACTAAGCTATAGCAACTGCAGGTCCTACCATTCCTCATACTGTAGAATTTTATTGGTCTTAGAAGTATTTACTGCTGGCTATTGACAGTCCTGCTTGTGTTTAACATATGGGCTTGTGTACATCCAGCCCTCTAGTACTTTTTGGTGGTTGCTATTTGCTAGATTCACCATTCCCCTAAAGAGCTACTGCTTCTTGTCCCTGTAAGGTCGGGAGCTGCCAGCAGGACTAGCTGAGGTGGAGATGATTGAACGTGCCCGGGAAAAACGTGCATGGGAAGCAACTCTTCCAGCCATGGACGATACCTCGCAAATCGCGAAGAGGAGGAAAATGATGGACGATATGGAGAGGAAGGAGTGGGCCTTTAGAGAACAGGAAATAGAAAAGTAGGAGTCCAATTATACTCTTCTTTTTTTTTTTTTTTTTAATTATTGGCTGAATAGAGAATGAACAAGAAGGTTTAGGAGGTCAGCTGAAGGGTACAAGCCTTTTATTTCTTGAAAATCCCCTGATTTTGGAAAGGAATATTTTTGTTAAATTTAATATGAGGCTGCTACCACAATGCTTTTCACCAGCGCTAAAGTCACTTTTTAAAATGAAAGATTAAATAAGAGATATGCAGTATGAACTATGTGTAAAGCAGTCAGTTGGTATGTAGGATTTGATGATGACAGCATTGCACAGAACACTGCAGAGTACAGTAGGTCATACCTGCCCTTTCCTTTCAGGTTGCAGGAGGTTCGTCTGGAAGTCTTAAAGAAGCTGCTGTGGAGGCGAGTGGAGAATCAGAATGAGCTGGATGCCAAGCGCTTGGATGATCACTGGCAAAATCATCAGAAGGCTAAAGAAGAGAAAATAAAAAAGATTCAGCATGACTGTGCGCTAAGTAAGTTGGAAAGACAAGGAGAGAGCAGTATGAGACTTAGTTTTCAGATAAGCCATTTCTATTTTCAGAAGGCTGCAGTCTTTATTCAAGATGAAACGTGTTGCATCCACAATATAGATATGCATGGCCAGCATTTGTTCTGGTCAAAAGGTCATGTTTTTATATTAACTAGTGAAAGTCCTTGTGAATTTCCAAAGATATGGCTTTTTTTGAACTATTTGTATGAGGAACCTCCTCACATTTGTATTTCCTTTTCAGTGCTCAGGAAACTGATAGCTAAGAGGAAGAATGTGATGGGGAAGCTGGAGAGAAGAGATATCATCAAGGAGTATACTGACTTTGCATCACAAACATACGCTCCTTTGTCTAGAATTGGTTATTTCCCAGACAACCATTCTGAACGCTACGTGGTAAAAAGCTTCTATCTTGACACCTTTGCAGGTAAGGCATTTTGGAAAACTTAGTTTGCATGAGATATTTACTTAAAACATTAACAAAAGTCAAATTTCTTTCCCCACTACTGCATTACGTAATTGCTGTTCGTATTTCTTAGGACTGTGTGAATTGGAAGCATCTCTCCCAGAGTCTGTCACCCAGGTCGAGATTAAAGCTCCAACACCTAAGTACGCTACCACTAAGACTGGATTTATTAAAAGAGCAGCAAGGCTAGAGGTGGAGCTGGCACAAATTCACCAGGTATGGAGCTGCATCAAACAGCATGTCAGTTCCTCTTAGATTTGAACTGCTCAGAGATGCAATTGGGAAGACACGCGTGTAAGCTTTCTCCTAATTTCCTGTGCTAAGTTCACATTTTCTGTAAGACAACTTCAAATGGATCAAACATTCAGACTCTTGTAGGCATGTACTGCTCTGGAATTCAGTCTGTTAGTACTCTCTCACCCTAATATCTAGGCTTCTGCCCCAACCCTACAGAAAAGAAGCATAGCTGCTTCAGTCTTCCTACAGATCAGGTATTTGGATCAGAACTTACTATATCAGTTAGAAATTCTCTCCTGCCACTTGTTCATTCTCATTTCTCCCTTGCTTTTATAATGCACAAGTGGCAAGCCTACTGGTTACACTGTCAAACTAATAATTAAATAAACCAAATCTGAATTCATATTCTAAAAATTCCGTACATTTTTAGAAATGTACTTTTTAAGTACATATTGTAAAAACACCTGCAGCAAAGCATTCTTAACATGACCCCACTCATAAAATTGGATCTGAATGGTGGATGCACATCACTGTTGTTCCCTACAACAGCATCTGATTTGCAAACATGCTAATAGTGTTTTGCATATCTTAATTTATCACAACTGTTCATGCAGATGAGGTGACCATATATGCAATTAACCACTGAGGAAAGTGCCTCATTTGCATCTACAATCACAATATTTGTAAATTACATGTACTTTTAAGTACGCTTCTTGTGATGTTGTTGAGGGTTATCTTTTTTAAAATCAGGCGTATTCTTGGCTGGCTGCTGTATCTCTGAAAAATATTGAATTTCATTTGTAAAGCTTGGCAACTTTCACGTATGCTTTATTTAGTGAAGAAATATTTCATAATTGGAAATTATGTATGTAGCTTTCTTGTTTTAGTGTAATTTAATAATACTCTCAATGCAGACAGTAACTTTCTGCTAATGAATTTTAAATTGAAATCTTGTTCTGAAAAATGAATCATATCTCAAATTTAATTTCCATTGGATCTTATAAAAGATGAAACATTGCATCATCATTATTCAGAAGGAAAATTTTCAAAGAAAATTTGACTGCTACAGGAATTGTTCAAGAACTAAGGACGTCAATTCACTACAGTTTTAGAGAAGACAGTATTGAAGGGGTTTGGGTGCTTTTTGTATAAAATTCAAGTAGTGACTATGTATAATCTGGATCATAACACGGTTCTCATAGGCAGCAGAACATTAGCCCAGGCTTTCAGAGCTGAATTCCAATTATAGCAATTGTATTCTCTTTGTTCAAAATAGTTCTCATGGTTTGAAAGACTACAGCGGAGTGTCTAAACTGTAGTCACAGAGAAGAAGTATGCCCTAATGCTGGCTGCTCACACAATAATGTCTCTATTCATAGAAAAATTGGTGGCCAAAGGGAGATGGAATGCAGAACAAAAGCAGACAATTCTGCATATTTTCTTTCCTAAATCAGTGTAGACCATTGCTCTACACCGATTTATATCAAGTGAGGGGCTAATATATAACTAATACTCATTTACCCACCATGAGAAAGCAAAACTGATTTTCTTTTAGGATCACAAAGCATTTCTTTTGCAGGCAAAGAGGATAAATCCATTATGCAAAATTTAACTGCTGCTTTTAGATGGTTGGTCCAGGCAGACAGAAAATATTGACACTGTGAAACACCAAGGCTGCCTCAGCCACTGTTAGATTTAAACATTCTGTTCAGAGCGACAAGAAGTTACTGCCCTAATTAGCACTTGAGCTCTGTGGTGCTCTTACTGGTCACTTCTCCCATCAGAGGCTTTTCCTTCTTAAGTTTGGTGGCTATAGCATGTTTTGGCTTAGCAGGGCCTCTCTGACAGCTCCACCTCATCAGCTACTGGAGCTGTCAGGAACAGGGCAGTAAAGGGTGCAGAGTACTTGAGTTACCAGAATTTAGCACTTGAGAGGACAGCTGTCGGACCACTTGGCATAAGCAGTCCCGGTCGTGCCAACAACCTCCGTCACACGCAGTATGAAAGAGGTTTAAAGCAGGCAATTAGGGATCAGCTCAGAAGGGCACTGTGTTGCTTTGCATTATTTCAATAGCTGAGCAGCTAGACCAATTTTCCCTTCAAAAGCCGCTTTTTAGTGTGGTCCTAGCACACTTCATCTAGACATTTTCTTCCATAATCCTAGAAATAAAGCAGAGTCTAGAAAATTCAGAGAGTACAGAGTGATCTAGCTCTAGAATGAGTTTCTTTCATTTTCCCTGGATAGTCTGTGGAAGGAGGTGGCAAATAGAATGAATAGAGGAATGCTAGATTTTGACTTCAGGAGTAATTAATTTTAATAAAGGACATTTTCAAGGCTTGCTTCTCTGGCCAAAAAAGTGGCAAGATGACTGGTCCTCCTCATTATGTTCCTCTTGGTTTGCCATATTCAGGGTTTTCCTAAGCTTAAAGCTTGTAAGGAGGTGTAAGCAATTATTCAAGGAACTACAAAAAGGAGCTGTGTCCTCTTGAGAATAAGGACAGCTTCTTCCAGCTTTGAAACTAAGCCAAAAATGAGTGATTTTGGAAACAGACTTTTTGAGGACCACCCTGAATCTCTTGCGGGAGGATTATGTACACTCAGTATTCTTTGAGTAATTCTCTAAAACAAGAGACCATGGCAAAACCAGGAGTGACCCAAGTTTTACAGTAAAAACCCATCTGTATCTTAAGCTAGATCTGTAAAAGGACAAGAAGATCTAGTTCCTAGCCAGTGCTCATGATGGTGCTTTAAGGAATGTAAGTGAGCCATTATATAGACAGCCTTGTGTGACAATCCAAGGCATTAAGGAGATAGCCTACTGATACAGCTACAACTAGGTAACTGAACACACCAAGGAATGGAGGAGCAGCTAGAAGAAATCCCACTGCAGAACAATGCATGACTTTAGGGTGACCCTGTATGCTCTGCTGACTCAAGAGGGGTGAAATGTCAAGTAGTTCCAAAGTGTTGGATCAAGATGATGTCAGAAGAAGAATTTTTCACCTCAGCATTAAGTAAAACTCTCATCACGTCTGTTTTCCTTTATCCAGTTGCTGGAAGGAGGTGGAGAAATTGGGGGGGGGGGGCAAGAATGTCTCTGGAGAAAATCTCTGCCAACTTCAAAGCGTAGGAAAACCTGTTCAAGCAGTTATTTCACCAAGAACAGATCTCCAGCTCAGTGTTAGTTGGCTCATGCTCAGACAAGCTCTAAGAGCTATTATGTCAGTCTTGATCAACCAAGGTGCAGCAGCCATGCTTCATTGCAAAGTAGGTGGTCAGTCCATCCTTGATGATCTCACCTTCTTCATTTGCAAGCAAAAAGGAAGAAAGAGAAACATGGCTGTATACTCTGTGCTGTACATAAAAATAACATATACCTAGCATCTTGTGAAAAGGAGAGGATCACAGAGAAGATACGGAAGGAATCTAAAGAATGATTTCTTTTGAATGGAGCATTGTTCCTCAGGTCACTATCCTGTCAAGAGTTCTGCTTCTATCAGAAGCTAGCAAAGAAGCTAAAGTGTACAGCCAAAAGATGGGTGCCGTTTGCCGTTCACTGCATTTGCCAGGAGAATGAAAAGGAGATGGTGATCCTTCACTGTCCAATCCAATCAGATTATACCATGACTCCAAACCTATTACCTGAAAAAAGTAATGTAGTCTGTCTCAGAAAAATTAGAGCATGATGTGCAGGCAGTAACATTTGAAGTATGTTGTTCAGAAATTTAGCACTTTTTTTCTTTTAAAGAAAGGATTTTACATTGATTTTTGGGCCCTGGTTTCCCTGTTTCGAAAAATGGTAACTTGTTGAGTTAGGCAGAACCAGTTAATGCAAAAACCCCATCTTTTCTTTCATTAAAGTGTTAAAATAACTTAAAACCTCAGATAAGACAAATCAAATGGTAAGCATCTTTGACTTAGTAAAGATAGCAAAGCAGGCATTAGACTGGGCTGACATGAAAACATTAAGACCACTTCTGGGAACTGCAATGTTTCTGAAATCTACATTATTAAGAATTACTTCTTGTCAGAAGTGCTTATAGATTTTTTTGTCTTTAAAAGTTGTTATTCTGGTTGGGTTTTTTTATTCTGGCCAGCAAGAAAAACTTTTTGAGGCTAAGGTTTTATTAGAAAAATTCTTATGAATGCAACATTGTACTAATAAACATAGGAGCCATTGTTTTCAAAAGAATCACAATTAGAGCAGCTTTTTTATTTCAATTTCTCCCCCCATCATGCAAAACACCTTATAAATCATAGCAAGCACTGTTATAATCTTCATGCCAGAGAGCTCTAAGGTCATCAAATACAAGAAACAGTTCAGAAAATCTCTCAACATTTTTGAGCTATAACCATTTAACGTGACTTATAAGCAGTTTATAGGCTTTGATTCTTGCATTATTAACATAGTCCATTTCTGGAGTTTTCAATAATAAAGCATTTAACCCCCTAACTAGAAATCTCTCTCCTTTTCTGGAGCAATTAATTATCCTGGCCTGAAAGATCAGATCCAATATGCAAGAAGAGTTTTGTACAATGATCACTGGAGTTTTGAAACTTTGTTAATTTCACAATTATATTCTGTGCAAGTGCCATCAATTTCCTGATACTGGAGGGAGAAATTCAGCATGGGATATTTTTTCTTAAGTTTTTCTTTGATTTCCCTCACTAGTGAAATATTATTGTATTTGAATATTTGAAAGATAGCAAACGTGAAAAGGAAAAGGCACGCTTTTCCTTGCTAGAGTACGTCTGTTCTTTCAGTAATAAAGACTATAGATTCAACCCATACAGCAGCAGGATTATAATTTGGAAGGAGCTTTAAATATACATACTCTTTTCCCTTTTCTGTGCGAGCCAAAGTGTGATGTCCTACAGGAGGCAAGTGTTGCCGTACAGTTGAAATGATTATCTGAATATCCTGTAGCTTGCGATGAGAAGTTGGCAGGACTTTGGCTCTCTACATAGTTTGAAAGTGTCTTGAAAGAGTAGAGGCTGTGGTGCATTTCCACTCCGAGCCTGCTTTGGCTGACAAGGTCTGGCACCTGCCACTGAACAGCTATGAGAAAGATAAAACCCACTCTTAATGGGCTTGTGGATTTTCTTGGTAGAAGGAAGTTGTCAGGCAAGTTAGTTTCCCTTTTGCCCTTAGTCCACTCTACAGCTGCTGTGGGCCAGTTGCCGATGGGCAGAGAGTTTCAAAACATATTTTGCAAGAAAGAGGTCCTGGGTCATTTGGTTAAACCCTTCACCGTAACAGTGTATCATACAAAGACATTTCACAGGAAGGGCCACAGAACAGTGACAAGACAGTCTTCAAGTGACCCCCTTCATAAAATCTCCTGACCGCATAACATTTCTAACCGGCAGCGTTATACCTATAGTTAAGGCAAAGAGTTATAACCATTCTGTAGTAATACGTAAGCTGTAATTAAATTGTGATCAACCTACCCATTTTTTACGTTTTGAAAGAATCTTACCTCTATCTTATAGGAAAATAATTAATTAGATGCAGGTGCAGATGGGACAAAGAGATCATGAAAATGTGTAAGAAGGTAAAAGCACTTGCACCAAAACTCCAGTCATCAAAGAGGACACGTAACCCTTGAACAATTTGATTGGAGAAAAGACACATGCTTGTTGTGTGAACAGGTGCCTGAACAGCTTATGTCATAGATTGTACTTTTTAAGGCCTCACAGGAAAATAACTGAGGGGTCCCTCTTCTCGGAGGCACCCAGCTCAAGCTGTATTTAAACCGACTCAGTGACAGAACCTAGGGTCTGAACTCTTCTTTCCAGTTGGAAAGCTAAGACTCCTCTCTGAGAAAGAGTTTAGAAAGCAAGAGGGTCCAGTCTGAACCTTGTGACTCAGCAGGACAGTCTTCCTAGACACTTCTTTAACACTAGCACATTTCTCATTAAATTGTATGTCTATTCCAGGCACTACTGGAAAAGAAGAATAAAGTCAAGGAGCCAAAGAAGCCCCTCCGTTTGCTTGAAAAAGTAGAAAAGCCTGTTCCTCGGCCACCCACTCCAATCCTGGAAAAACCATCAATTGTAAGTGGGCTGGGTTTAGCCCTTTTTTTCTGTTGATCCCTGATTGTTACTGCATGGTTGTTAAAGGAATGCCCAGAGATGGGAAGAAGTGAACTTCATCTTTTTTGTGTGTATTCGTGTTAGAAATAGCCATCACTATTTCTTAAGACTCTCTTAGTCTCTCTTTATTCTATGAAGATACTAGCAACCAAAAAATTGAAAATCTTTTACAATATGTATTGGCCAAGTCTTTAACTAAACTTTCTTTCTAAATATATAAATTAGTAGACATGTTATTCCCTTGTTCTTGGGGAACAAAAAGGCAGAATCTTATTACTATCATTATTATTATGTGTCTTCCAACCTTCTGATCTGACAACACTATCATAATCCAGCAAAGCAATTAAGTTTAGTCCCACTGAAGTCAATGAGACTTTGAGTGCTTAGCACCGAGCATGCCCTTCATTAATTTGCTGGAGTGAAGCTCTTGTCATCACGCAGGATGAAGTCTTTGATGAGCATGCTCCAGTTCACAGAAAATGATTCTTCTGCAGAGATTGAAATAGCAGTAATGATGTGTCATTGGGGATGTGATATGCTGTAGGAAAAAACAACTTTTTAGTTGAGCTGCAAATTCTTTTCCTTTCTTGAAGTAACGTACTTGAGAGGTGGTTGCCCCAGTGTATTGCTTTGTCTGCTTGTTAACATCATTTTCATGATGTAGTAAGAATCAGTCACAATTACCATTTAAACTTGTGAATTTAGGAGAATCACACAACCATGAAAGTGAGAGAGAGAAAGACTTACTAGATCATCCATGCTGTCTTCCTCTGTGCAGTATGATGTCCTATGTTTTATACAGTCTATTTCAAGATGACTGAAACAAGAATATCTCCTTGGGAAGGGCTTTCCAGCTTTCCACAGCTTTACTAACTAGGTATTAGATATTGTATTGCAGTGGTACATTTACACTATTTAGATTTATCAGTTTAGCAGATTTTTAAAGTAATTTGAGGTAACATGGAAAGAAATCAGAAAGATTTACCCCCCAGTTGATATCCCCCATTCTTGAGCTTGTTTACAGATTATAATTTTTTTGAAGAGTTCCAATATGTTAGAATACCACCTAAATTAATTCTGTCAACTTTTGGTTTATTTTAAAGTATCTTTATGTGTGAACACATAAAAGACTAGAGCTCTCCAGCAAAGCTCAATCTGTAAAATTAGGCCACTTCAGCCACTGAAGAGCAGCACTAACATCTCTTGCCTTGCAGAATCCACATAAGGTTTCTCCTACCAGCAGCTGGCTGCAAGGAGCGCTGGAAGCAAAGCTCTTCTCTGTCGTTAATGCTTCTCTTCCTGCCATACAGACATAAGTACCAACTGCTAAATGCACCAACCTCTTCCTGCTAGAGTTGAAGATCTCAAAAGGAACACGTTCCAGAGTGACAGGCAGATGGCATTGACCACAAGGGATATAAAAGAAAATAGAGACAGTGGAGGCACTACTGCAGGCCTCCTCAGCTCCTCTCCCCTAGTCATTTCTTATGCACTCACTGGCCATAACAAGCTCACAAAGCGCCTCTGAATTCCTTCACTGGTTTATCAATTTCTCCCAGCCCCCTCTAGTTTTCACCCTGCTCCTAGATCCTTCTATATCCTTAGTTCTTTTTGGTTTTTTTCCCTGCAGGGTATGATAGGCTTTCCATCTCCCCTCAATCTTTCCTGCTTGTCTGTAGCAGGCAGGTGGAGAAGCTGATGATTACTCTTGCTAAGGGATCATTTGCAGCATTGAAAAACAGGCATACAGAAAAATACAACCCACAGAAATCTGATCCAAACCTTAGTTTACATGAAACCAAACAGTTTGGCTTACCTGCCCAGTATATGTGCCATCCCCATTTCCAAAACTCTGTCCTGAAGGGCACACTGTAGCCAGGTGGTACAGTACAGCTGACTGGACTGGAAATTCATCCCTTCTTCCCAGAAAAAAAGAAGATACCAAATCATAAGGCAGTCCTTTGGCTAGTTCTGCTTTGGTCCTCCTGGGTGGTGGCGTGGAAGGCAGGAATGCTTCCTTTTGCATTTGGAAAACTTAATCTTCAACACCTAAGAAAAAACAGAGACTAAGATTCAAGCCCACACCACATCTCTCATCCCACGCTCTTTCCTATTTTTCCAGCACTTCTAAAATACCACATTTCAATGCAAACTTCATAGGCTCTTTATTAAAAAAACTTCCTTGCAATTTTTAGATTGCTTTTTATCTTTCCCAGGCACCCAATGGGCTTTTTCCTTCTGCCACTGTCAACTCCAGACTAGAAGACCTCTCAGCAAGAAAAAGCACTGCCAGTTGCACTTCCTTCATTTAAAATAAGCCTTTTAAAATTCTTTTTCTCCTATGGTCATGTTCCCTTTCCTATTATGCTGCCTTATTCTTCCAAGTTGGTATCAGTTACATAATGCTAGGCCAGTGAAGTTCTCAAAGAGACGAATCACAATGTAATGTAATTAATTTTATTTCCAAACTATCACTTTCTGAGTCTTAAATTTAGTGGTCACCACTGGAATAAATACCAAAAGAAAAACTGTATATGTTCCCTTTTAATTTAAGCCCTTTATTTATGCTTACCAGCTCTCTTGCACCTCCTTCAATAATAATTGACCTGCTAAATTAATGTAGCTGATGCTCATTTTGCAAACTCAGATTCAGTCAAGCTACAAATAGTACTTCTAATGCATACAGTCATTTTCTCCATCAACATCTCCTTATCATTAGGTACTCGTCTCCAAAGACCCTCTAAAATCTCAAATAGAATCTAATTATACAGCCTTTCTCCCCCATCTCTTGTAAAACATGGAAGTATGTATTATTCTGACTCACCTTCCTTTCCCTAGAATTTAGAAGAATGATGTTCAGAACCACTGAGAAAAAGCTGGATATGAGTTAGACTTTTTGATAGTTGGACAATCTATAGAAATCCCAGTCTCCAAAGGAATAATTAATTTTTGTGTGGATATTTGTTGTGTTTTGGCAGGAGGAAGAGGAGAGAGAACTGGCAGTTATCTATCTGCAGAAGTTGCTCCGAGGCAGGGCTATTCAGAACATGGTATTCAGTGTCTCTTAGTTTATGTCTCTCTTCAGAATGCTGGTGCGAATGATTGAAAGTGTGTTTACAATCTTTCTTCCACAGCACTAATCAAGGGTAATGAGGCTTCTGCAGCATATCCTCCTGTATGTTATCTCTAGTCCTTCAAGGCTGAAGTCTTTGCTCTCCAGCCCAAATTTCTTACAGGAACTTCTAGGTTCCTATATGTGTCTGTGAGTGTCTCCCTGCTCCTGCCATCCCCTACACTCAGCTGTTTAATTAGATGCTTCACAGTAGAGTTACTCAAATGGCAAATTCTGGACTAGATCTGAACCATGAGTACATTTTGCCTTGATTATACCAAGATCTCAGGCACAAGAAACCTCCCACATCCCAGCAGGACCATCTTTCCAGTTTCCTGTGATGGTGAGCTGAACCTTAGATGAGGAGCAACTGAAGCATCCCACCATGATTTCCAGCAAGTGCAGGACCCATCACTCTGCTTTCAGTGGAGCAGAAGTGGGTCTAGATAAAAATCAATTGAGTAGCCATGCCTCATAGGCTTTACATCAAGCGAGTCTATCACTTTTGATCAGACCCCTCCGGAAGGTTTGTTTTCATGCCTGCTGAGAATATAATTGATATTCTCTCTTGCACTAACTATTTAATGTTTGTTCCCAAGAGGGATCCTGACCTGAGCTTTAGCAAACAATGCAATACTGTGAAGATGGCTTAGGTGGAATATAGTCTTTCCAAGCTGTCTCTGGGTCTGTGGTGATCTGTGAGAAGGATGTTGGATGCCATTGCAGGGCTGTTGATTTTCTTATCATGAAATGTCCCATCATTTTAGGAATCTCCTTCCAGATACTACTGGATGAGAAATACATGACTCAGTTGGAGAATGATGTGAGTAGGGTTGAGTGATCCTTTGTGGCTGTTGGAAGTCCTGTTGGAAGTAAGAGAGTGTCAGGGAAGGGCTGGGCCACATAATCCCATAATAGGAACAGGGGCAGCTTCAACAACCTCCCCACCAATTTATTGCTTTAAATTGTTGCTGGACTCCCTAAAAACCCTGGACTGAGGAGAAGGGGCAGTGCTCACACTGGGAAGCTTTGACATTGAGGCTGATATAACAGGATATCCAGAAGGCTATTGCCCTTTTCACTTAACATTGGTGTTGCTGGTCTGCATTCCTGTGATTTGAGTTCTGGGTGAAGCCAAACACAATGAAAAAAAAAATTATTTTATAATAAGGTAGCAAGGGATCATCTATGTTCCACAGCAGGTCTCAACTTTCATTTTCTAGGCAGGAGGGTTTAGGTAAGATTTACCTGACAGCAACACTGTTTGCCTAAATGCAGCCACAAATTTGTTACTGAGAACTAGGTCCGTGTTGATCTATATTCTCCGTTTAATACGCTTGGTTGTTTCACTTTATTTTAAAGATGTTTGAAGGGAAGGAGAAGCGGCTGGAACTGATCCAAGAGCTGCACATCACTCACGCGCTCCAGGAGGACAGACAGCTGCTTCTGAAGGCAGAGGAGCAAATGACACTGGCCCTACGGCAACAGTACACCTTGCAAATGCACAAGGTTTGCCCATATACATATATGTATACATATATAAAACATATAGATGGGAAGGCTGATTCACCACAGTCCTGACCGGGCGCTCTGCTCTTGCAGTACCACCAATACCCTCACATTTAATTTCTTTATGTTTTCTATTGTCCACAGCACAGAAAGCACCCCAAGTAAGAAAAATGCTCTCCTGGCACAGGCCAAGCATTGAATGCCTGAGGGGCTAAAACTGCTTTCACTGCTGTGGGGACTCTGGGGAATCTCAGAAACAGACTGAGGCGCCCTTACCGCAGCTGCTACCCGGGCTGCGCTTGCTTTGTTTGCAGACAGAGCACTTATTTATATTTACAGGGCTTTGAACAAACTGCACTGTCAGATGAACCTCAGTTTTCCCACATTTCAATCCGTTTGACTAGTGCTGTGACCTGGCATCACAATATACACTTGTCACTCACATCTGTCAGATGTTTCACTGAATGTGTACAACTGCTCTGTCATTTCCCTGTTCCTTTTCTAGCTTGGCACTCTCTCAGGCTCCTCCTCGGGGCATAAAGCATCACAAAAGAAGCCAAAGCGGACTTGCTTTGTAAATCTTGCTGGGCTTGAGACTTCTAGGACCTTAGCAATGGTGTCACATTCTTGTACTTGCCACTGTTACAGAGAGCAGAGAAATGTTGGGCTCCATTGTCTGCCAAGGATCTAGTGAGAGCTGAGGATGCAAATTCCCATCCTATTCCCTTGCAGGCAGATACTGGTCTAAAACGGATCATAAAGAAATTTTGTCCAGACTTCACTGCATCTCAGACATACAATAACTCCCACATTCCTGCAGGTTTTCCCACAGTTTTTACTACTCCCCTGTTTTCTCAGTGACCAGCTGTGAGGCAGTTTTGCAGGTTCCAGATTATGATAAGAGCATCCACTGGCCAGCTGGCCTGGTGGAGATGAAGCCAGACCACTGCTTCCTGCTGGGTGGGCAGCAACGAAATTTCCCCTCAGATCTCAGTAAAAATTGAACTAATTGACTGTGTTTTACTGTTCATCATTTCCAGGTGCTCCCTCATACACAGGGAGCCCAGGTGTGGAATGCAGGAGTACAGAATTTTTCTACTGAGGAATTAAGAGAAAAATAAAAGCCTTAGGCATTAGGAACTTGAAATGCTTCTTCTCTTCTGAAAGCCCAGGTGATAGTGAAGGACACAGCAGTTCAGACACTATAATGACATTCACAGAGAAGGAGAGGGAGAAATCGGTAAAGATGCTGACCTCTGATCTCAGAATTTCCTTTTGGGAGAGCCACTATCCCCCTCTGCTGGTATCTGCCTCCTCTACTCTAGCATTTTTTTTTACTATGTTTCTGAATGCAAACAATTCAAGGCTCAGGTCTTCAAACATTTTGAACTTTTAAAGATTCTGGAATGCGTATGTGGGAGTTTTCTATCTGTGTGGCTATTTTAGAAACTCACTGATGACTCACAGTTCTTTAGTTTTTGGTGGTCACAGGTTTTTTTCAGGTTTTTTGTCTTTCCAGTATAAAAAGAGGCATTTTTCAATAAATGCTTCCTGCAGAAAGAGGATGGAAACTGCAGATAAAATGGTGAAAGATGAGCAGTTGAAAATTTCCAACCTTGTATATAGTGAAAGTCTAAGACAAGAGTGTTCCTGGGTTGTTTCCCTCCATTTCACACAATTTTTAGACACAGCACCTGGAGCAATAAAGAGGAAGCAACATGTTAGTTCCATGTTTTCCATCCCTGTGAGCTGGTGCAGTTACTGCATTGCCATCTTCCGTCTGAAACACCACGGGCTAAGCACTGTCACCTCTAGATGTGTGCAGTCCCACTTTCTTTGAAACACTGCATGAGCACAGCAGTATAAGAAAGCTGATTTATTACTACTTGTCTGGGATATTTCAGCTCCATTTTGAGTTTTACGTTCAGGTCTACTGTGTTATTGCCTATTTATTCCAACACAGCATCCCAACCAGTTCCAGACATTCCCTTCTGCCAAGGACTGTGGCTTCGTAGTCTGTACTGGAGATAATGAACTTACCTTAGATCTTGTCCCTTTCCAAAGTGCAGTCACACATATCCAACCCATAAAACAAGATGTGCTTAGAACAAGGAGTAAATGGCACAGTAACACTGAACACCTGGAATCTAGTCTCTGCTCTGTCACAGACTTTCTCATTTTCCATTACATGGAATTTTGAGGTCTCGTTTGCACTTCTGCAAACTCAATATAATTACTGTTGATTTGAATTTGTTAGAAGTTAGCAATTTGTACAGTTTGAGGTAATAACTCAATACCTAAAACTGCAGGGACTCATGGTTGCTGTATTATCTCAGCAAGTTGAATCGCTTTGGTCGCATCGTGAGTGTCCAACCACAGACATGCCATTTCACTGAGGTGGCTTTGAACGGTTAACAAACATTTCACGTCCTTAGGAGAGGACAGAAATGTGGCTGTACTCACAATTGCAGTTTCCTAAACCTTTACTCAAGCTTCAAGATTGAGGGTTTATTTTCCAAATGCTAAAAAGAAGCTTCATTTGCAACTTTTGGTGCTATTTTTCCTGTCCTGGTCTAGCTAAGCTTAGGAGGGTATGCACCTAAAGTAATTGCATTGTCACTTTTATACCTCACCCTTTCTTCGTCTGGGCAGTGGAGCGTTCCCCAGTAATGAGCAGATGACCACAGCAACTATTCCAGTTACACTCAGCCACAAAAGCAGTTTGTAATAACTGGGATACGGCATGTCTAGTGCTTTATCCCCTTCCACCCACTCAAGCATAGGGGCTGCTTGTCCTAGTGCGACAGTGTTGGGATTATTCCCAGCCTGACTAGTTTTACTGACTTTTAGTATATAGGCTCTTGGTGCCATCAGAGCCTATATACAGGGACATTACATTATGCAGAATCCAGGCCAGTGCATGTAAAACAAGAAGAATGCAAAACTCCATGGCTGGTCTGAGTGGATGTTGCAGAGCTGTTTCACATGCCTGTGGGTAGTCCTGGGACTTTGAACAACATTCCTGGGGTTTGTAACGTAATTCTTTGCATTTTTCTTTAAAAGCTATCATCGGTGGAAAAAGACTTGGCCAGGGAAGAAGGAAGGGTACTGGCGAACATGTTTGATTTCCTGTCCAAAGAACTGTTGAGGCTGCAAGAAGAGCGGAAGATCCACGCTTTTGTGATGCTGGCCGAGAGGCAGAGGCGGATGAGGGAAGCGGAGGAGAGCGGCCGGCGTCAGGTGGAAGAGAGGCGGCGGAAGGAAGAAGACCAGATTTTCAGACAGGTAAGGGAGGGAGCCTGGTGGGACTGTGGACAGCTTGTAGGAACTGCCTCCTTGTGGGAAGGTCTAGATGGAAGGGTGGTGCTTCAGCTCTGACTTTGGCGATGGCTAGTTCTGAAATTGAGGGATTAGTGAAGAGACGGTGATTTCCTTCCTCAAAGAGTCATGCCCATTAAGTTAAGGATGATCCAAACACCCCTACAGACAATCCTGTTAGGCATATCATGAATGGATATAGGTTTCTTAAATATCCACAACAAACACCTAGATCATCTTTAGGAATAATGTTTGGTCTGTTCAGCAAAATACTAGGTGCTCTCCCAGGAAGGATGCCTTTAAGCAAAGTTTTGGAAAGATTTTGCCCCCCCAGAAGTAGACTGCAAATAACAAGAGGTAAAAAAAATTATTTTGACGTAATGTAATGGATAACATAACCTTGAAATCCAGAAACAAAAATCCTGAATTACCACATTCCATAACTATTCTATAGTTCTATTTCTGTTCCCTGGCTCCTAACTGTGTGAAGCATATTTCTCCCAGTTGAAAGGAATGAGTGGGAGCCTAATTGACTAAACCAATAATTTTCAAACTTTGTGGGAGGAGGTTAATACCAAGAGAGTCTGGCATCATGTTTATTTTTCTTTTAATTTTAGCTTCTCCTCTTATCTTTTCTGCATCTCTGAGTGGGAAGCAAGGAGGGTCAAAGCGCCATAAGCTTATGCCCTTCAGATTAGCAGAAGGAAAACACCTATTTCTAGAATCTCTGCTCAACAACCATTATATGGAAACCAATAATTTTATCTTGGTTTTACTCATGGTACTTTGACTGGCTTGAAACCTTTTCCTTCAGGATTTGCTTGAAAGAAAGCTGATTAATTTACTGAAGTCAATATTGATGATTACTGTTTAGCAGTTGTTGCTCAGGGGACCATGAGAACTGAGGAAGCAACTGCCATTGCATTCACAGAACTAACCTGCTGCAGCAGAATTGGAGCTGCGGAGAAGTTTTTCTTCCACCACTGGTTCTTTCCAGCACTTGTTTCTGTTCAATTAGTTCTCAGAAAGAGTTATTAGAAAATATTTTTTTACATGTTCTTCTTCCCAGAAAGCACCTCTGAAACCAAATCTCAGGCCGGCCTGCCTGAAATTAAGAGTCTGATGAAAATCTGTTGCTTGGTTCTTTGGAAATCTGCTTTCACCATGTTCCTGGCAGGGCAATAAGCAGAGGAATAATATCTTGGTGTTTTGTTCCAGGTGGTGAAAATGCACCAGAGCACTATTGACTCCTACTTGGAAGACATTATCCTGAGTAGCATGGAGAACACAGCTGAGGAGCAAGCCAGGGAGGAGGTTCAGAGAATGGCTGTAGAAATCAATGACATTGCTTATGAAATGGAAAGTCGGTACGTTATTAAGTGGCACATCGTTAGAGGCTGTTTACAGCAGTTTAGAACCTGCCTGATCATCTGCATCTGTGGTTGCCTGAATAATCTAAGACATGGGAAGGGCAGAGCAATACTGTTCATGATCACCTCCTTAGTGTGACTGCTGTATGGGAGCCACACTGTTACTACCTGGTGCACACATATAAATCCATCAGAACCTTATTTCTATACGCCATGTGCCAGGTTCCCTTTGCAAATCACTTGTGGGATCTGTGAATTACCCTTTTTAGACTTCTCCATGCCAATGTGGTGCTGTGACTGAACTTTAAGTGAATCTGGGAACTGCCTAAAGCAATACCCATTCATACTGGTCTTTTCATTTATTTACACTACTACAGAAAATCTGTTTGAAAGAAAGGCTAAAAGATACAGCTATACAGAAGCCTTTCATTCTGGGGTGGCTGTTCTTTAAGAAACTGCCAATTTCCATGGGGGTCAGTCATATTGATGGCTGCCTGACAAGGCATTTTGAGTAGGGTAGGTTGTTGGGAACACCACAGTCTTGTGTTTGGCTGGGGCATCAGCAGTGAATACTTTTTAGGACCTGCCAAACCTCCAGTTCAGTTTCTATGCTCTTTTTTTGGAATCGAGCCATAAAAATCCCAATGACACAGTGACTCTCCTATGGTACAGCAGCTGTGTATTTTGTAACTAGATGAATACATCCAGAATGTTGAAATCCTTGGGGAGAATGAAGCGTAGATAATGCATGCAGCCCCTGGGCCAGTTGGGAACCCACCAAACACTGGCATGGAAAAGAGCACGGGGACCAGCCAAATGCAGAGTCACAAAAGGGAAGAATTTAGCAAACTCAGCAATGGGCCAAAGACTAAATTGACAAAGATGCAAATCTTCAGAAGTATCTGCGTGTCTAACTCAGTTTGTCATCAGCGAGTACTGGGCTTCTAAATACCTTCAAGGCCAAGGAGTTTAGAGTGATCTCTCCCTGGAAATACTGCTTTCCAATGCAGTATTGAACACATTGGCAGTGCAGTGCAAAGGGGAATAGTCACACTATTTGTAGGATAAAGAGAGACCCTGCTGACAATTACTGCCATAACAATACACTCCCTTGAAAATAGTGAGAATATTTACAAGGGAATCTTGTGTTTGCAGAGGTGATCTGGAAAGAAAATTAAAATACTAATACCACTCTGCATCTGTTCTGTAGTCGAACTCGCCTACAGTCAGAAGAGATTGTGGCAGAGCTGGTTTATAGTTTCCTGATTCCAGAAGCTGAGAAAATGTCTATGAGAGAAAAAGGTAAGGAGTCCAGTAACTTTATTCTCTTCGTGAACTGTTTCAGCCTCCTCACTCTAGCTCACTGACGAGAAAGACATAGTGAGAAGAGTTGCCTCAGTTCTCTGAGATTTCTCATTTGCACTCTGCGGGTAGAAAGTTAAGACCTCTGACCCCTTTTCACCAATTTCTCATGAGCTTTAGTCTTTTTAAATGGTGGCCTGAATTCAGATCTGATGTGAATTTGGTGTATCATCTGCAACAATAAAACTACAGTAAAAGAATCGGCCCATTGCACCTCCAAAAACTAAATGGGAAAAGCCTTTAAGTAACATGCCTGTGAATTGTCTGTTATATGGCGATTTCAAAAAACTGCAGAAATCTTTAATAGGCAGATTACTTAAATATATACCATATGTGGAAGGAAGATTATATGCTTTCCTATGCTCTGCCCCTCACCCCCAGTTGGTTGAGAGCTAGAAGCAAAGGTAAGGTTTTAGGGTTGGCTGTAGTGGCATCATGTTTTAAGTAGATAATCTTGTAGCTGTAAAGGATCCTTCTGTTTAGCCAAAATGGAATAATATCTGTCAAAATACAGAGGGGAAGGACCTGGAAACCTGTGTCTTACATTGAGTGTCATGAATAAATGGCTATTCTTAACTGGGATGTTTCCACTGACCAGCACACTCAGAAGACCGTGACTAAACCAGTCACACATAGAAAGTGGATATAACCTAAGAAAAGCAATTGTGTCACAATAGAGTCTGAAGTGGCCCTTGCCGCAGTGCACTTCTCTGACTTGAGAACAAAGGCACTTACTTCATTGCTTTTTCTGTTGCTTTGTGAATGAAAAAGCAAACCCTTCAAACACATTTTGCAGCCTCTGAATTGTGCAAACGTTTTTCTTCCTAATTCATGTATTTGTCACGACAACGTATCTATTCAGCAGCTGGCAATTCTGCGTAGTCTTAAATCAGCTCTCTTCTCCTTAGCCCTGCTTCTGCAAGCCTACCAAGCAGGTGATGTAATTTTAGTCAATGAAGCCTGCAGCTCAGGCACTAGCACACACGAGTTAGTCTGTCTCAGAAACGAGAACAGAAAGAGAAGACCTGGAGATGGGCTAGGACTCTGGACGTACAGAGGTACCATCAAGGAAAAAAACATGTACTGGGCTTAAATGCAATAGCAGATACTGAGGAATTGCAACAAAACACCTCCAAAGCACCATCAAGGAGCAGAAGAAAAAAAAATAATCTTCAAAATCTGTGCATAGTTACAGTGGGTCTGTCTGGAAAGCAGAGCTAGACCCAGACAAAAATTAAAGTGGATACTGGTGGAAGAGCTAGAGCAATAGGTGATAAAGTACAAGAGCTCCTTCAAACACGATCAGGTGAAATTTGCCACAATATTCTTGAGACAGTAGACATCAAATGTCAGGAAGAGACTTGGCTCACACTCTCTTCTGCTATTGCTGCGTGGGTTGGAAGGGACTCCTTACACTTAGGAGTTAGATGAATTCTACCAAATGTGTGCTCTGGTGAACACACCCTGCCATAAACCTGCAGAGTGATACCTTAAGGGAAGCAGAATCTGTAACTATTCCATGCAAATCCAAAGGGAATAGTATCAAAGAATGGCATTAGATCTCGTGAGCACATCAGTGTATTGCATTTCTGTGGCAGCTTTTAAAGCTTTCCCTATAGAGATCCAGATAATTCATTATGAAACCGTGTTTTAGCAACCTGGCACACGCTTGAGCATACACCTTCCTTGAAACTAGCAGGAAGTGAGCTGAGAGCACGGTCATCTGGCCTGCCAGAGGAACACATCCATTTGTATAACAAAGATTTGAGGGCCTGCAAGTTCATCCTGTCTACACTTCAGCTTCTCCTTAAACATCTCTATTTTGCCATTGCCTAGTCTTGTCTTTTCTTATTTTTTTTTCTCTTTTTGCCACATTCCTATGCATAAAGGCAGGGATTATCCAATACTGGCTCATCCCGAAACCCCTCTGAACCCTCCCTCAGTGGAAGTAGAAGTCAATGTGCCGATATGAAAAAAAACCCTTGCTTTTAAGAAGACAATCACTCACCAGTTTGACCCCGCTTTCTTTTCGATGGACTTCACTGTGGGTGGAGGAACGGACTGCAGCAATACCAGGAGAGTGCTCCCAGTGCAGTTGATGTAGTTCATGCATACACAATTGAAGCCAAAATGCCTTGGGTAGCGAAAGCTCTCCTGGGAATTGAGAGCTGCCTGGTGAAGGTCAGCTTTTCAAAAAGTGGGATCCAGTTGCTTTCATTGTCAACAAAAAGGACCTGGGAGATGGATAAACATAAACAGGATGGGTTAGTAACGTTGGGTGACTGAGTCAGTGACAGTACAGAGGGCTGTGTGACAGCCTGCAAGGCACCAGTGGGTCAAATTCACACTGAAAGTACAGCTCAGCCTTACAACAGACCCAAAGCAACATGGAAGTCTTGGACTTTTGCAGGGAAGTGACACGATGAGAGCCACAGCTCGTTCCTGCAACATTCCCCATACCCTTCTTACCAGGATGCAGTATTTCAATCCCCATGATTGTTTGTCAGCATCTTAAGTTGAGAGAGGGGAAAGAGGGAACAAAGACTAGTGAAGAGCAATGAAGAGAATGGTAGGGTGAATGCTTTGGCTTGGGTAATTATTTCCTAAGAGGTGGGCTGGAAATATATAAACAAATGAGATTGGATGAAAACTGTAAAACACAACAGAGAACAATCCTGCAGCAGCAAAAGGGAGACGATAAGGGAGGTGACAATGTGTCTGTACTGTCTCCAAATTTCACTTTGACCTCAGTAAGAGTTTCTCAGTGCAGGCAAAATCCTAACACAGGAGAGCGTGGATTTCAGCTCCAGTCTTCCAGAGCCTGCTGCAATTAACAGACACTGAAGGAGAAGTTATTTTAAAGCCTGATGATAACATATCCTGGGCAGTTATGCCCTAAGCTGGAAAGGAAAACACTTTGGCTGTGCTTTCCACTGTGGGGGCTAGTCTTCAAAGTGAAATGCAAAATTGGTTGCTGCTATTAGGTGGCAGTAGAACACTTTCAGCCAAAGTTAGAAGGGCGTGATTTTTCTTTTTTTTCCTGAGCTAGGCTTTTGCACAGCTGCAGGAAGGCTAACAGCTATCCCTCCCTTCCCCCCTGCAGAGAACACTTTGCTGTACATTTCCAAGTAAAAGCCTTACCTCTGTTTATGCACAGTGAGGCAGTCCCAAAGAAAACACATCTATGCTGCTTATCACATCATCCACGGGGACACGGAGAGGGTAGTGGCTGATCTGGCACTACATCGGGAGACATCTGCCAGCAAGACAAAGGGAGATCCTCCTGCTGGGACAGCTTTGAGTGGGACAGCTGCTGGGCCAAGTGCAGCTGACAGCACTCCCTCTGCCCCAGCCCCACGCCAACTAGCTCAAGTGTGTGAAGAAAGCCCGGGAGAGACAGCAGAGAAACCTTCTGATGGATCAGACAAGGATCCTGCAGCCTCCTAAAAGACAGGAGATGAGCCAGGTGAGTTTCCCTTCCCCTCTGTGATCCGAGCTTGGAGCGTGGTGAAGGAGAGGGAAGCACATTATATTTACTTTTTTTCAGGGCACCCAGAATGGAAAATGCTCTCTCTTTCTCTTTCCCTCCTGCTGCCTGCCAGCAATGTTGTCCTGGAACCACTCTGTACACAATTCGGTGTGGCAGGCCCAGTCCAGCCCTCTCCCTAAAAACCTTTGGACCTCATTAGCTAATTTTCCTCTTCTAATTATTGAGAAGCTTGAATGAGAAAGCAGTCAGCATTCCTTGTTTGTTTTCTTGGCACAGACCAATAAAGACCTGCACCTGGGCTTTTGATGGCATTTCCTTGCATCAGTAACGTTACATGAAAAAAATGTTCCGGCAGAGGGAGATTTTGGGTTGAGACCATACACAGTCTTTTCTCAAGCATGTCCCACTGATTTCCTTAGTGGAATAAAGCAGAGTGGCTTCCTGCATTAGCACTGCTATTAATAAAGCCTTGAACGAAAACGGCCAGATCTTGCATCATCTTTTCACCTAATTAGTCCTTGCATAAAGAAAAGGCGCCTTTGACCTCGGCAGGGAGGTTCCTGCCAACCAAGCAGTGTCTGGCACTAACAACGAGGGCTAGGTGCTAGCAGAGTGACACGGTGGGGGCTGGTGGAGCTTCTGCAAAGAGCCCATTAGGCAGCGCTTACGGCTTTTCCAGAAATGTTTACTCTTTGGGCTGACCTCTTCTTGCTTTTTAGCGTCCCAAAGGAGAACAATTCTGGAAAGGATCTTATTTTTCTTAGAACAGCGTTAGTCACGCTGGCTTTGCAGCTCCAGGGGGCCGTGAGGAGAGGATGCTGGCTTTGCCTTGTTTGCAAGCACGGGGGTGCTCCAGCTCAGGATGTCAGAAAGGTGCGGGCTGCAGGCAGGCGCAGCGCAGCGCATCAGAGAGCTGCCAGGGACACGCTCAGCTCCCCAGCACCCACCTGTCAAAACGCCTGAGCTCTGTGGGTTTAGCATCTGAAAGGTACATTTATACCCGTGCCTGACATCAAACGCAGTGGATTTTGGAGAAGCAGGCACAGCCACATCACCACACCCAAAACGCTTACTCATTGATGGCTACAACTTACGCAACAAATAGCTGTATTAGCTCTCAGTCCTGACGTGATAGCAATGGGCTGATCTCCATCTTCTTCCATCGTTTCTCTTTAACTCATGGTCTGGTTCTTTGTGCTGGGTCTGTATGTAAAGCCTCGGGTATGGTCCAGCTGACTAATCCTGCACGTAGCGCTGCTCCTTCAAAGCACAAACCAGCAGCTGGTCAAAAATTCAGCCTCGTTAATGCATTCCTGGAAGAATTTTGTGTCAGGTTTCTGTTTGGTGGATTTGGATGGGGAGGGAGTGAGAGTGGCAGAGAGAGGAGAAGAAAGGTCTGAATACCCCCATATTCCACTGAGGAGAGAGGAAACCAAGAGCTGCACCAGGAAAGCACTGGTGGTCTCCAGGTCACTGAACCAGGGGCACCACATAATCACAGGATGATACGGGGTTGGCAGGCACCTCTGGAGAACATCTCGTCCAACCCCACGCCAAAGCAGATCCACCTCGAGCAGGTTGAACCAGGAATGTGTCCAGGCAGTTTCGAATGTCTCCAGAGAAGGAGACTCCACCACCTCTCTGGACAGCCTCTTCCAGGGCTCTGCCACCCTCAAAGTGAAGAAGTTCCTCCTCATGTTCAGGTGGAACTTCTTATATTCAAGTTTGGGTCCATTTCCTCCTGTCCTATCACTGGGCACCACTGAAAAAAGACCAGTCCCATCCTCTTGACACCCACCCTTTAAGTATTTATAGGTGTTGATCAGATCCTCCCTCAGCCTTCTCTTCTCCAGACTAAAAAGACCCAAGTCCCTCAGCCTCTCCTAGTAAGCGAGATGCTCCAGGCCCCTCATCATCTTCATAGCCCTGGGTGACTGGTGGAGTCAGGCAGCCTCTGTAAATACTGAAAAATCTGGCAGGAACCAGAGATGAGTGATGAGTTTTGGTTAGGGCTCTGGGGGGGTGATCCCATCAGGGTTTGGGGATTTGGGAAAATTCTCATGGCACGTGTAGGTAGTCACTAAAGGGGAAGGTAGCAAATGGAAAAACGTAGAAAGAGACACTGCGCGGTGTGGGAGGAGAAGCTGTGCAGGGATCGGCTCTTTTGCCTCAGGCCACCTTGGACAAATTTAGCCTGGTTGAAAGAGGAGGGATAACATGAATCACAAGACCCAATGTAATAAGAGAGACGATGGAAAACTTGATGCAGCAGAACAGTAGAAGAGGAAGACCGATCCATCGAGGCATTTTCTGTATTTCCGAGCTGGCACCTCGAAATAAGCGTTCTCCGTGCGGCTCATTGTACGATTTGACGTGGTGCTAAAAAGATAAGAATTATTCCAACAGGTGTGGGGATGGACGTAGGTTGCAGCGCTCTGGTCTTCTGCAGGGATAGAGCCCTCTGCACGACAGCGAGGGGGCAGGGGACTCCCGGTGCCACGCACAGGCTGAGCTATAAATGTCCTGGCTTCTGTTATGATTTAAGGGACACCGTCAGGGTGAAGCCATCTTTTCCACGTGACATTGCCCAGCACGTAAGCTGAAGGCCACCACAGGATTTCTGCAGGAAACTCTGCTCTAGGAAACTGCTTGCCATCGTCGTGTGTGGAGTTCTTTAAGGTGGTTTTTTTTTCCAAGCTTTGCAGAATTCGCTTTGAGAAAGAAAATGAGCCCAGTGAGAGGGAGTTGGGATCATAAATCAAGAGCGTAAGAATGCACCATTCCCTCTCCTCGCAGGAGAAGCCCCGGCTGGAAACGAACGCAGCAGATGCCTCCAGGGCTGCGCTGATACGGGGACAACCCTGGGGAGAATGCTGCTTGTCCTGCTTCCCTTTGGGCAGCCGCCCCCCGGGAGGGAGCCTGGTGGTGACACTGCTGCATCCCAACGGGTGTGGGGAACGGCTGAACCCAACAAACCTCTGGGGTCACCGCGCTGCGGGAACGGTGAAAAACCCCGCTCTTTGCAGTGAATGAATGAATGCAAATTGTCTCAGGGCTTCCCTGCCAACACGGCCCCTTCGGTGTGGAAGGAGGAAGTCCTGTGGCAATAATTAGGGTGCAGACCAGCCAAAAGGGCCAGTGGAATCACAGACTCACAGAATCTTCTAGGTTGGAAGGGACCTTAAAGATCATCTTGTCCAACCATCAACCTAACTGACAAAAATAGACACCCACACAACAAACAAGGAGCATCACCATCACTAAACCATACCTCCCAGCACTTCATCAACCCGTCTTTTGAACACCTCCAGGGATGGTGCCGCAACCACCACCCTGGGCAGCCCATTCCAATGGCTGATAACCCTTTCTGTGAAAAATTTTTTCCTAATATCCAGCCTGAACCTTCCCTGGCGTAACTTGAGGCCATTTCCTCTTGTCCTGTCGCCTGTGACTTGAGAAAAGAGACCGACCCCCACCTCTCTACACCCTCCTTTCAGGGAGTTGTAGAGAGCAATAAGATCTCCCCTCAGCCTCCTCTTCTCCAGACTGAACAACCCCAGCTCCCTCAGCCTCTCCTCCTAAGACTTACTCTCCAGACCCCTCACCAGCTTTGTTGCCCTTCTCTGGACCCGCTCCAGCCCCTCAATGTCTTTTTTGTGGTAAGGGGCCCAAAACTCGACAGAGTACTCAAAGGGAGGCCTTACCAGTGCCGAGTACGGGGGGACAATGGCCTCTCGGGTCCTACTCAGCACGCTGTTCCTGATACAGGCCAGGATGCTGGTGGCTTTCTTGGCCACCTGGGCACACTGCTGGCAGCACATCTTTTTTGGAGGACGCTTACTTTACCTACATTTTTTTCATCATAAAACCACAATAAACCCGTGCTCCCCCATCTCTCCTGCCTCCCTTAAAAGCAATGTGACCCCCACAAAAGTTGCTGCTGTAGACCTGGCTGTGGTGCTGTTAAAAGAGTTCCTGCCACTTTCCAAGCTCTGCTGTTTCCTCCGTTCCTTCAGGATCTGCCTTCTATTTTGTTGGGGCTCCATTCAGCCCTCACACAGCTTTGTTGGGGGAGAAAAGCTCTACAAGTGTGGTCCTCACGTGCCAAAGGCTTTTAGCAAGGTTCAACTGCACTGATTCTAACTTCACCTCCTCCCCGTCCAAAATCCTGTCCATGCAGCTCATCCTGCTTTTTTCTGACTGGTGAGCCAGTGTCTTCTCGACATCCACCACCCAGCCTCCTCACCTCAGTGCCCGCCAGCGTCCAGCCTGGACCTGGAGTAGTAAATTCACAGAATCACATGGGGTTGGAAGGGACCTCTGGAAATCATCTAGTCCAACCCCCCTGCCAAATCAGGTCCACCCAGAGCAGGTTGCACAGGAACTTGTCCAGGAGGGTTTTGAATGTCTCCAGAGAAGGAGACTCCACCACCTCCCTGGGCAGTCTGTTCCAGAGCTCTGCCACCCTCAAAGCGAAGAAGTTCCTCCTCATGTTTAGGTGGAACTTCTTATATTCAAGTTTTGCCTGAGACCCCTCTGGACCGAGGCCCCCACCTCTCCCCACAGCCACTGCCAGGAGCAGGGCTGGCAGGGAAGGCATCTCAACAGCCAGTGTTTGCACGAGAGAGAAGGTCCCAGCAGGTGGATGGGGAGGGCATGGGCTGAGACCTGGAGAGGAGAGGCAGCTCTGGTGCTCTGCTCCCATCCTATCGTGCCTTCCCTCTCGTTCTTCCTTTTCTCCCACGTTCTGCGTCAACCCCACGCTCCTCTCCCTCCATCTCCTGCAGCTGGTGTCCAGGCTGCTTCTCCTGGTCTCTTCCCACCTGCCAAAGCCCAGTCCTTCAGGTTGCACTTGGAAGGGATGCTCGAAAGGGTCCCGTTTCCTTCCTGGGCTGTTTAACTCTACCCACTTGTTCCTCGAGGCCAGAGGTGTCACCCTCCCTCCCTCCACCATCCCCAGCAGGCCTGGGAGCTGCGACTGCCCCTGCAAACACTCACCATCACGGCTGGCCACTAGTCCATGGCTGGTTGGACCTGTTGCCCAGCCCAGCCATCTGAGATTTATCACATCTAGTTCCCCCAATGGGGAGCTTTCATAGTAACCTGCACTCCTTGCCCGTCCTGGAGCTTCTCGGTGGGGGGTGGGGGATGTTCATCCTCTTCCTCGGGGTAGCTCCTCGGGGAGCCTGCGGCGCTACCTGCAATGCAAATTGGGGTGAGCTAATTGCAGCTGCGCAGCGAGGACCCGATGCTGTTGCTCCTGGTGACAACGTCAGCGCCGAGTGAGAGCCGCTGCTCTGAATGCAGATACAGCAAAGAAGGAACATTTAACCAGCGCTTTTACGGAGCTCCCTCAGCAGAGAGTGCACTAAACCACCTCCTCAATACCCTTCTCGGCCGGGTGCTTCTCCCTCACCCTTTCTCATCGCTTGCACCTGGAAAGCAGCCTCTCCCACCAGCGTTATGGAGACCGAAAAGCTGCATCGGCTCCTCTCTCCATGAAGGTGCTGCAGGTTTGATCCTCACAACAAATCCCCCCTTCTGTTTCCTGCTGCACCAGTGAAACCAGCCCTTCCCCTTAAAGCCTCTTGCAGCCACCACGTTGGTTCCTTACCTATGGAAGGCTTTCTCCTAACGCAAACCATTTTTCAATGCTGTGCAGGCCCCAAATTTGTTGTCTCCAGCAGAACCAGCTGCCATTGACCAACCCGTTCCAAGGCCTGCTGCCATGAAACAGAAGGTCCTGAAAGAGGAATGAGGTGTAACCGAGATGGTCCGAAGACTCTCCAGCCGGGCAGTCCCCTTCATTTCCTGAGACCGCTAACAAATGACCAGCATCCCAAATAACATCAATGATCTCCTTGAGCAAAAATGCCCTCAAATAAGCTGGGTTTTCCCAGCAGTCACCATCCACCTCCTGAGCACTCTTGCCTGGCAGAGGATTTGGTTACAGGAATGAGCTGCGGAAGGGAGAAGGAGGACATGCCTGCTCTTATGCCATAGGAAACATAGAATCATAGAATCGTTTAGGCTGGAAAGGAGCTTTAAGATCATTGAGTCCAACCATTAACCTATCACTGCCAAGTCCACCACTAGCCCATGTCCCTGAGTGCCGCATCTACACGTCCTTTAAATAACTCTGGGGATAGTGACTTCATCACTTCCCTGGGCAGCCTCTTCCAGTGCTTGACAACCTTTTCGGTGAAGAAATTTTCCCAAATATCTACCCTAAACCTCTCCTGGCACAACCTGAGGCCATTTCCTCTTCTCCTGGCGCCTGTTACTTGGGAGATGGGACCGGCCCCACCTCGCTACAACCCCCTTTCAGGTAGCTGTAGGAGCCATGGTGGGGTAGCTGGCAGGCTGCTGAGAGGAGGATGGCTATCTCTTGCCTCCTCTCAAGCTCACCTGCCGTTCCCACCACACCCTCCCTCCGACAAGACCTCCCACGTGTCCCTGTGTCAGGGGCAGGCGACCCCCCAGGGGTCACCACCTGGAGGTGGCGTAAAGCACAGGGCGTTCCAGCAGCAAACTCAGATGAACAGTCCTGTTCTAACTCCTAGAGGCCACCAATTTTTTTAAAAAAACTTCTCTTAGGGAGAAAAAAAAAAGCCCCACCAAACCAACCCAAAAAAACCCAACACAAACTGCTCCATCTCTCTGCTCTGCAATCTGGGCCCGTGGCTCCTCTGCTGGGCAGGGGCTGTGCTCTGCTGGGCGGCTCTGCCCGGGGATGAGGGTTCGTTTGCCCATGGTCACATCTTCTCACTCTGTGACCAGCCAGGGGGCTCTGCAGCCTGCCCTGGGCAAGATCCCCTGTGATGGCTCTCCTAACGGGGCACCTTGGTCACAAACACTTTGCTGCTGCAATCTGGGCCCGTGGCTCCTCTGCTGGGAAGGGGCTGTGATCTGCCTGGCAGATCTGCCCAGGGATGAGGGTTCGTTTGCCCATGGCCACATCTTCTCACTCTGTGGCCAGCCAGGGGGCTCTGCAGCCTGCCCTGGGCAAGATCCCCTGTGATGGCTCTCCTAACGGGGCACCTTGGTCACAAACACTTTGCTGCGGCCACTCACAAGCTTCCACAAAGGAAAAGGGTTCCTCATTCCCCACTTACCTTGTCCTGGAGGACCCAGCCTTGTCTCCACAGAGCATGAGCAAAGGCAGGTGATGCAGAGAGCGGGGAACCCCTGAAAGAGAAGGCCTTCACTCCACTGATGGCATGGGAGACCCACCTGGCTGCATGCAGGCTCTCAGGGGCAGTGGGATATAGCAAGGAGAAAACATCTCTGCCAGGACAACAGGAGTCAGCTGGGCCCACCATAAGGACTGCATTCCTGCATCAACCAAAGGCAGGTGTTTGCTGTGAAAGTCCAGGTGTCCCTTAACAGCCCTGGCCAGTGCCACCTGCACCATCTCCTGCTGTGAGCACCAGCAGGAGTTTGTCTGGGGGACCCGTCTCTGCTCCAAAGCCTCAGCAGCTGCACGACATTCACACCAAGACATAAGTACCTTGGCTTTCCTGCCCTGTCACATCTGCTGCTGCTTCCTACACACCTTCCTTCCTTTCACTGGAGCTCAGCTTTGGCAACAGGTGGGGTATCACCCCACAGCCCTTGGGCAGGAGCAGTTCAGCAAAGCCACCAAAGACAGAGCAGCCCTGCCCTTGCCGGGAACACCACCCTGAGGGGTAGGGAGGGAAAGGCAGGACCCAGCCAAGCCCTTCCCAGAGCCAGGGGAGGGAAGGGGGGTTCAGGACTGGCTAATGAGGTTGTGTACCATCTGCTGGGCTCGCCGTCTCCAAGCAACTGGACTCGGTGCTTCAGACACAAACCTCGTCCCTCCCGCTCCCCCCTCCCCCTTTGTGGCTCTTGTTCTTCTCCCACAGAAAAGCCACTTGGACCTTACCACCACCCGCCCTAAAGCCCTTCCAGATAACAAACGGTGCCAATCGCCTCGACGCCGACTTTTCATTCCGCCCCAGATGGCTGGAAGTTTGGTGGATGAAGGCAGAGCACATCAGTGGAGCAGACCTCAGCACCGCACCCAGCTCATACCGCGCTACGCTGCCATTAGCATCTTAAATCATTCAAATGCATCGGCGACTGACCACTAAGTGGATTTGACCCTGGTTTACAGACAGGTCTGGAAGGGTATTTTCACGTGGGGAACGGTGACAGAAGGGCTGTTCCCTGGAAGGTTGCGTGGGGACTGGCTCCTGATGCGAAGGTGTTTTGCTATTTCTTTTGAAATGGTGGCTGGGGTGAAACTGTAAAAGTCTCACTGATAATGTTTGCAGGGATTACAACGGGAGGAAGCGATGGATAAAACTGCACAGAGGGTGACTGCAACCCTCAGGTAAGGACACAGAGAGGTACCAGCTGCGAGACCCTCTCTAGTGTCTGTATTTGGTGCTGGGGGCTGCTGTAGGAAATCTCTGGCTGGTTTTGGTACCACCTGCTGAAGGAGAGCGTTAAAAACCCTTGTAAAGGAGACACAATTGGAAAGATTAGAAAGACCTAAAGGAGCTGAAGATCCCCTTCCAGTCAGCTTAGCAAGAAGTTAGGAGGTGACTGGGTCCTGGTGAAGGGGCTCTGACATTCAGGAGAGACCTGAGGCTGGAGCAGAGGGTTCCTGAGGCTGGAGCAGAGGGTTCCTGAGGAAGGACAGCGCAGAAACAGAGCCCGCAGCTGGCATTCAGTGAGAGAAGCTGAGAAGAGACAGGTGGCCTCAGTGCACGTGCACCTAGAAAGGAAAAGTGCCCAAGGATAATTAACCACCACCCCAAATTACCGAGGATTGTGACAAACTCCCCATCGGTGTCAACCTTTAAATGGATGGACTCACCTTGCGAGGGGCCGTGCTTCAGGCAGAGATGTCTTTGGAGACAGGACTGGCACCACCTTTAATGCCAGGGCTGAACTGGTTGAGGAGCAGCCCTGGTCTGGGCACAGGAGTTCCACGCAGCCTGAATCCCGGGGACGCCGTGGGTCTGATGTGAAGTGATGAGACAGCAGCCTGTCACCCGTGTCACTTCTGGGGGGGCCAGGCTGGAGCCTCTGCCTGGCCCCAGGAGCTGAACAAAACAAGACCCGTTCCCCTGGCCATGAGTTTGCTGGCACCTGCTCTTGGGGGGCTGCAGCAGGCAGACAAGGTGAGAATGGCCCCCAAAGGACTCAATTTGGGGAAGCCACCATGTAGCAGCCAGCGGGGGGAGGGAGCCTCATGCATCTCTGACGGTGTGGACCCACCAAGGGCATCAACACTCCTGTGACCGCTGGCTGCCAAGTCTGGGGAGCAGGGGACAACTCACTCCATGGGGAGCACCAGGCTCTACCACCCCGTCCTTTAACAGACTGACCAGCCTGGTACCAGCAGCTTCTTCTCCAGTCCCAGCCTTTCCACTAAACCAAGGTCTCTCCCCAGCAGCTGCCCCTGCGCTGGGATGCCCCTTCCCGACCCTCCCGGAGCAGCTCCAGCCCAGCAGAGGAGGTTTGAGGGGGATGAACAAAGCAAGAGGAGCCTCTTTGCAATATAAATTTGTTTTTATTGAAGCAGCAGTCACATGACCTCGCATCTAGCCTTTAGGATAGCGACAGAATGGATTCGGCCAGGTCAGCCAGCCCAAAAAAGGATTTTATTACTTTTTTTTTTTTCTTTTTCTTTTTTTTTTTTTTCTTTTGCGCTAATAGAACATGTCATGTTTAATACATACATTATCCAGTACCGGAAACCCAACTCAGAGATAGCTACGTGCTGATTTGCTGGAGGAACGGTCCACTGGACGTGGTCTCGACAAACTTTACAGATCACCACCAAATAACATTACTAATGGGATCAAATGATTGGAAAAAAAACCAAAAAAAAAAACCAAACCCAAAAAACCCAAACAACCATGAGTGCAGGATTCAAAGCCAGCAGTTTTACACAGGTTCTTAAGTTCGTATCGATAGGTGGACGGTAAAGGAAGATCAGTTGGTTTTAATTTGAAGTATTTATGTCCCAGAGTTCCTCTCTCCATCAAATCAAACGGTATCAGAGACAAGCTGGCATCTCTCGAAAAACAGCATGGAATAACACAGCTCATTTAAGAAAACATGCTTATTTCTTGTGGTTTTTTTTTTTTTCTTTTTTCTTTTCATTATTATTACAAAGATTCACGTCCACCTATTCTTGCGGAGTGGAAAGAGGTGCGAGGGCGAGGGACAAGGGGTGGAGAAGGGAGAGAGGAGGAGGGAAGAAAAGGGGCAAGTTTTTGAAATAAAGACCACACACTTGGTATTTTTTAAATTTCATTTCCAGGCTAACCTACTTTTTATTTAATGCAAATTACAGTACCAGTTAACTATTTCCGAACCGAGTCACACAGAACAAAACGTATTTACAAGGGGAATGGGGCGGGGGAAATAATAAAACATTAAGCATACTTTCCACAAAAAAAGTTTATATTTAAAATGAAAAAAAAAAAAAATCAGTCACAGAGGCATTCAAGTAGTAATAATGTTATACAGGTTTTGCTTTTCCTTTAAATCAAGACAGATTTGCACAAGTGTATGCAATAGTTTGTATACAACCCACAGTCCTTAATATATATATATTTTTAGATTTCTGTTTTTAAGATGGAAGTGGTCACGCTAATTGGTGTGTACAGGCCCAAGTGATCCATCAGCAACACATTAATGAACGCAAATTTTACAGGCAAGCAAATTATATATATATAAATATATTTTATATATATATATATTAAAAATAAATTGAGAAAGACCAACACAAGGAAGCTACTTTTCTCGAGCTAACCCCTTTAGGTACTGTTTTTCCTTTCCTGTCGTTTTGCCGTTATTGCGGTGTTGCAAAACGAAGCCAACTACGACCAGAACGGCTGAGAGCCCCGTGGAAATCAGCTGCCACCCCGGGGTGCCCGCTGGCAGTCTCCCAACGGCACAGCCCCCACCCAATACCCTCAACTGTGCTTTTTCTCTTTTTTTTTTTTTTCCTTTTCTTTCCTTTCCTCATCTGCTTTTTCCCTTGTTCTCTGCGGTGGCTGAGGTTCCCGGTACAGGAGCACCAGGAGCCCGAGAGGCTGCTGGACTTGTACTTTTTCCGAGTACTGAAAACCAGGGGAAATTTTAAAGTCACGAGTCGCAGGCACCTGCCCTTACTTTAGGTAAAGCTTGGCTTCGAAATAAGGGGACAAAGTGTTCGGGGATCTTCTACCAGCCAATTGTCTTCTGCAGGTATTGTTATATTTTTTTTTTCCCTAGCAAGGTAAGTAAGTTTCATATGAGAGAACACCAGCGCCTTGATCGGGTGCCCGTCGGGGCCGACGGAGCGCGATGGAGCCCGGCTCAGAGACCCTGCGCCAACGGCAGGGCTGAGGCAAAGCACAGATCAAGAGCAGCCTGGGTTTTAAAAAAACAAGCCCGAAAGAGAGTAAAAGAATAATAGAGGGACAGCTCTGAGCAGACTGTCGCCAACAGCTCGGCATCACTGACCTTCGTGTCACCAGAAAGAAAGTGCAGCCTCTGCTTCACTGGAATGAACACGAGATGCTTCGAAATAAAACAGCAACCTTTGGTTTGGTAAAGAGTTAAGTGTTTTCCCATTCAAGACAATCTTATGTGGAATACTAACAAGGTAGTAAAACACAAGCAAACTAGTTTTTAGAAACAAGGCCTTCGTGCTGGGCACAAGAAATCAAGAGTCATGTTAAACTTATCATCTCAAGAAAACAAAAGTGACTTCGGGGAGGGGGAAAAATAATAATAATAA